TGATTTATACTTTGATATATATTTAGATCTGAATGCAAATTGGGATCTTTGATTCTTATTCATGTTATATTCTTAATTTCATGTTGTTAGTTATTATTTTAAATCACCTACTTCAACGAAATTTATAGAATTTTTCTTATTGTTGAAGAATATGTTTTTTTGTTAATAAATTTACAACTAAGGAAAATTTGTAAGTAGTGTTTGTTCTTTCATACTCTCAATACAAACAACCCTTCGACTTCTGTTTAGTATTTTTAATTCTCTGTAAATAATCAGAAAAAAATCGTTTTATATTATTTAAATCAAATTACATTGACTTCTTTATTCTTCTGCAGCAGCCAGTTTTGGTCATGAGACCTCCTCAGTGGTTGATAAAATATACAGGAAGGCAACATATTTTTAGTCTATTTGAGCTATTCCTGTGATATCAAGCCTCAAATTAAGGATTTCTTAAAAATAATAATAATACTTTATATTTATTTTGGGACGAGTTCCTTAAGAATAATAGATAAAGGCAGAAATTTGGCCTATGGAATATAAGAGATACATAAAAAATAATCACATAGTGAATAAATTGTCACAATAAAGAAGTATAAGTTACTTTCTAACTTTAATCAATTAATAATAAAAAAAAATCATGAAGTAAAAATAATTAAGAACGCTCTAATAATTTATATATATATTTACAATTTTATGGGGAGTGGATGGATAAGAAATGATTGAACAGGCGGGATTGAAAGGGGAGGGAGGTATTGAAGCGACGGATGTAGGAAGGGATAGAGTTCCATAGAGATGAAAATCGGATAATGAAAGATCAGTCGAAAATAGCGGTTCGGTGGTCCTTGTGTATAAATCTGAAAACCGGGAACGAGTATTGCGAGAACGAACAGAGGATTTGAATTGAAGCAGTTCGGAGATGTATGAGGGACGGTGGGATTGGATGACTTGAAAGAGGGAGGATGCCAGGAAATATTTACGACGTTAGGATGGATAAAGCCACTTCAACTCCTCATAAAAACGGAAAACAATTTATCAAACGTTTTAGATCGCCTTGAGATCCCCATATACCGTACAGCAGTACTCAAAGTAGGGAAATATTAAGGAAGTGAATAGGATCCTACAGGTTCCAAATGGAAATCGGTGACGGAGGTAATTTAGACGTGAACAATGAATATATGAATTTAGATTCAATGAATATATAGCTCTCACCAAGTCACAAATCCTATCCATGCCTTCTTGAAGTTTTTTCTGTGGCTGGAAATAGATCAGAGGGCGGGAAGGACAGGTATATTTGGAAATCGTTTGCATAGATGTGGTGGATTAGGAGGGGAAGTTCATTAATGTAAATAGAAAACAGAGTAGGGAAAAGAGAGGAACCTTGCGGGACACCACATGAGAGGAGCAGGGTTAAAGCAATAATTGAAGTTATTTATTTATTGATGAGAATTTTATTTGATTTACATTGGTTAATAAGAACAACAGCACTAAGGACAATTTTTTTTTTTTTGGTAAATTATCCCTCATTTGTTATAAAAATTTATAAATACTATCTTTTTTTTACAATATTTATTTTGTTTATTTTAAATTACAATGTATATTTACATTAAGTACAGCGTTTCAAAAATATTTTCTTAGTAATAATATATTAATAAAAAATTGTTTCATATAATAATTTATAAATTTGCAATTTTGAAACAACTATTTTTCATATTTTGGTATTCCACAATTTTATTTATAATACGGCCTTTTTACAATACAATCTTATTAAATCTACATACAAGAATTAAAAAAAAAAAAATCTAAAAACTATGAAATAATATTATATCAAGAGTTTGTTTTAAAAACATTAATATTATCAACAAAACATAGCACAATTCATGTTTTAAACAAAATATTTACAAATAATTGGGCAATTAAGTTATTATATTTATTATATATTTAGATGTAATTATTTTTAGTTTTTCTCATCGCAAAACAGATTATAAAACCTGTTTGATGAAAAGTATTATAATTTAAATTTATGCTGTCCTTATAAACTGAAAACTGTGTAGTTAACAGCAACTTCAGCCAGATCCTGATTCCTTAAACATTGTTTTTAAGAAAATACTAATCACACAGAATCAGGGGCTCTTCCTTGATTAGGCTCATCTAAACAAAAAGATTAACATTACTAAAATAAGCATAGAGCTAGAAAAGCGACATAAAGTGATTATATTATACATGGAAAAATCTAAATTTCAAGACTTGTAACGATCAACAATTCTTTCCAAGGCATTCGGTTTGATCATAGTCCCAGACTACGGAGAAGTGGAGGAGGGACCCCTGCCCCCCAATAAAAATATTGAGGGAGCGAGAATTTTGTTTCGCCCCACTAATAGTTTTAGGCTAAAAAAATTAAGTCAATTATAAATAAGTTAAATGAATGAATAAAATGTGTAAACTAAAATCAATTAAGAAAAGTTGACTACCTAGGCTAGGGTCTGGTAGTAGGTATCTAACGATATGATTGATACCTAAATATTACTTTTGTTTAAATTTTCATTTATATTAAAAAATAATAATATACAGAGTTTCCCGTAAGTAGAGGGAAATATTTAAACAGGTAATAATAGACCTCTAGAGCTATCAAAAACTTCATTTAAACAAAGTCCGACTTTCGGCAGAATAGTAGGCACTTTAAGTTTTGTGTTTTTGTAAGTAAGTCTTGGTTTTTGATAAATTTGAAGCGATTTACTTCCACGGCCTACCCAAGCATATTAAGAGCAAAAACGTTTCCTCTAGTACAAAAGTCAACCTTTACAAGACCCTGGTACATCTGGTGCTCTCATATGGATCAGAGGCATGGCCATCTACTAAAGTGGACGTGAACAGGTAAATGATTTTCGTGAAACAGGTACTGAGGAGAATATTTGGAGCATTAAGACAGAGAGAGGTCTGGAGGAGTAGAAAGGATAGAGAGCTCTATGATGCCCTTTAGAGATGACAATATCTTCAGGGTTATAACGCTGGGACGACTCCTTTAGGCCGATCACGTGACTTGAATGGGTGACTTCGAAGTCCCAAAGAAGGTAATGACGGAAGAGGTGCACCCCTCGGCCCAGGAAAAGGCTAGATGGTGTGGAGGACCAAGCGAGGAACCTGCTGAACATCAGAAACTGAACTTCTGCATCACACGACAGAGCCGAAGGCTGCCTAGATGGCGGGTTGTTGCAATGAATATGTATGTATGCATGTGTATGTTTGGGAGATATAATAATAATAATGAAGATATTAGGAGATATAATAAAATGATTATCCGACCACTTCATATTTAAAAATGGCTGTTCTAGGCTTAGACAAAATAATTAATTAATTTTATTCATTAATCTACAAATTTCTTACAAGATTAGTTAGTATTTTCATTTTCTTCTACTGAATGAATGATAATTTATTTCTTATCATTCAACTAATTATTTGATTAATTAAAATTATTTATGAGTATTGATACTAATAGGTATGTTTTAAACAGCCGTATTATTTTTTTCTCAATGATTACCCTGGGGAGAGGGAGAACTTTCCCTTTTTCTCCTATCATGGATTTTTCACTGCTCACAACTAGTCTCTCACTAATTCAAAAGAAACACTTAACAAAAATAGTTGTGAATTAATACATTTTTATTGATGTTCAGCCCTATCGACAGGCCGTTTTATATGCAAAATAAGAACTGAAGTGGAATACAAAAAAAAATGCAATCATCTGCTCCTGTCAGTTCCAGCCTTATACATTTGGCGCCCCTGGACAACGGATGTCATCGTCCTTCATCCAAAAAAACTATTTGATATTAAGTAATATTTGAATTTTATTTGATTCTATAAGTCACTAATTCAGTTTAGTTATTAAAGGCTAAAATTATTACATATGCTTTGTGATTTTTTTTTTATTCCTAACAAGTGGTGGGAGCCACCCTCCTGGACGGCAATAGCCCGGGAGCCCAGCTCCAAGGCCAGCACTGTCCTGACCTATGTGACATTTAGAAAGAAAATGAGGCAGATTAAAAAGAAAGTGGCCGAGGAACCTATTACAATAAATACAAAAATTTACATAACTCAGAAAGTTATATCCGGAAGAAAGTTTTCCTGGAGATCGTGGTTGTCCAATTAAAGAAAGCTTATGAAGAGGCAGGTTTCAGGATAAACTTCCAAAAGACTGAGAATATGGCACTGGGAGATGAGCAAGACGACCTACGCATAGGTGGACAGGTATTTAGAAGAGTGAAGGCATTTAAATACCTCGGGTCCTATCTGGACAATGTTGGAACGTCCGAAGTGAATGTCCGAAACAAGGTCGAGATGGCAAGAAAAGCTACTAGAATGCTGCATCCTGTTCTCTGGAATGACACAATTTAAAACGCGAACAAGCGGCGTATTTTCACGGCTATTGTCGAGTCCATATTAACCTACGGATGTGAGGTATGGTTGATGAATGCTGGCTTGTATGCCAAAATTCGGACTGTAGAAATAGATTTTTGGAGAAGGCGTCTACAGTTAACGAGGCTGGACAGAGTCCGAAATGAAGTGGTGAGACAGAGAATAGGTGTAGAGGGGACCGTCTCTGATAGGATCGGGAAACGGCGATTGAGGTGGTATGAGCACTGCAGGAGAATGTCGGAAGAGCATTGGCCGAACAGAGTTCTGGACTGGCAGCCACCCGGAAAGCGTAGGCGAGGACGACCGAGAATCACGTGGATGGAAGGAGTCCGAGGTCTACAGGAGGGTGACTGAGAGGATAGAGATGTGTGGAGCTCTGCTCTGACCTGAAGAGGTATCCCACGTTGGAACACCGGAAATAAGTAAGTAAGTACATAACTCAATTATTAATAAATTGTAGTTCGTAGCTGTTGTGGTTCATTTCGACTCTCCTTGCCCACTTATCATATTTCCATTCCTTGATTTATGACAACGGTCAACTATGTATACGTATTTAATATCATTAACAATATACCTTTCACTTTATTATTTCTTTATATGGAGAATCCAAGTTCTGTCATTGTCTTGTCTATCCAAGGGCGAGCATATGATACGCCAGCATATACTCCTGGAGTTTGATCTCCACAACCGATTCCCCAAGCAACTAAGCCAATTGCTTGGTATGTTCCTGGCTTGCCTTCAACAGGGCAAACTAGAGGACTTCCTCCATCTCCCTAGAAAAAAAAAGTATAATGCCATAGAAAATAATGATTTTTTTTCTTTAATTATAGTTTTCAATTTTGATGAAGTCATTAATCAAGATGACATGTTATGTTTCTTTAATAATAGATGAATCAGAACTATCGCATAAAAAAAAAAAAAAAGTCTGCCAAGTAAGGTCAGTATAGCCATTATCATTTTCTAAAAAATATCTACAATAAAAGGTCCTCCAAAATCAAATCTTTGTGGTTAGAACCCTCTAAACCAAACCATAAATTGTCAGTAATTCTATATTTTCAAAAATTTAAACAATCATATTAACTTCTAACCGTTAAATAGTTAACATTATGTTCTAAACGTTAAAGAACACAATGCTAGACGATTTTATTCATAATCCAAAATTACACTGAATACAAGAAGAAACCATCATTTGTAATTAATATAACACTATCCTCCCCCAATAAATTGATAATCATTAATGATCATCTGTGATCCACCCAGTAGCTGAGCCTCACCCTGGAAGTTTCTCAATACACTACCTGTAAAATCTATGACAGCTAAAAGTATCCTATTTCGCAAAGGACCAACGAAGTTCGCGTGAATTCGAGATGTACCAATCGATATATCACAATTGGCTGTTCCAAACAGAGAGCAATTTAATCAGCAAACTTTAAGTATGATAATAAATAATAAAAGGATTTTAACGTATTTAACGCATAGTTCGATGATAAATGTACTTACGTGAATTTGTGGAAAAATATAGCAAATAATAAAATAATACAAACAAAAATTGAATTCAGGTGAAAAATGTAAAGCAACAAGAATGGGTGAGTTTTAAAGGCGTAAACCTAAATTTTAAAGTTTTATGAAAGAGTAAATATCAAGTTAAATTCTATAATAGGAAAACAATTATTTCTTTTTTTCTGGAAATTGTGGTCTATGAATTACCGGGTCTTAGATATTGAAAATAAGTTCAAAAATGTTTTTAGATAGTACAGCATAGTCTTAAGCATAATATCTGTGATGTTATCTGAAGATGTTTTAATAAAGAGTAAATATCACGCTGGATTCTATAATAGAAATATATATATTTTTTTATTTTCATGAAATTTACAACTGTATTACAATTAAAAATGCAACAAGTAAATATGACATTGGTAACATGACATATACAACATGAAGAGAAACTACCCATTAGTAGAACTCAAATTAAAGTACTGTATTAGAAGGTCCTGAGGCCATCTTCTTTTCAGACGCCACGGAGGGGTATCAGGAATAGAAGAGGGGGCAAGATTGGAAACAAGAGGGTTTAGATGGTTCAGAAGTTTATTATGAAAGGATAGGTATCTGGATTGGACTAAATCGGGAACATATGGTACGTTAAGGTCGTTATGGATGATTTTATTACCAACCAAACCGAGTATACCAAGTAAGGTGCATTAAGGATTTTACGAAGGATTGGATTGTAAGGATTGAATACGAGAGGAATTCGATGGTTTAGTAGAGCTCCAAAGCTCGATTTCATAAGTCCAAATAGGCCTTATTATAGTGATATATATAAGTCTTTTGTAAGTAATTGGAAGTTTACAGCGTTTATCTAATAAGTGCTGGAGTAGTCGAAAACGTCGAGCGGTTTTTTGTCGTTTCAATCTGGTATGAGGATTCTAAGTGAGTCGTTTGTCCAGGTGGAGTCCTATCGGATACAGGTATCGGATTTGTTCAACAGGAATAAGTAGGGTATTGTTAAAGGATAAAGTATGGCAGAATGTCATAGGTTTGGGACGAAGGGTAAAAATAATGTGATGGGATTAGTGGAGTTTATTTTAATCCTCCAGTTTTGACACCATTCTTCAAGACTTGTGATATATGATTGGAGAGTTCGGGATGCAATTGATGGATCGTTGTTAACTGATAGGATACACGTTTCATCGGCATAGGTGGTGATGACAGTGTTTTGATGGGTTTGAATGTCACCTGCATAAACTGTGTAAAGGATAGGACCTAGGATGCTACCTTGAGAATACCAGCAAACTGAGAAAAAAGAGATGAATAGACATTTTTGTGATTTACTTTGAAGTATCTATCACTAAGGCACGAAACGGATAATGAGGAAATATGAAGGTGATGAGAATCTACGGAATTCCCCGGGTACCATCCGTCCCGGGTACCAGACTCTATCAAACGCGTGTTCAACGTCGAGAAAGGCTCCCGTGCAGTACATTCCACGCTCCAATGCAGAGGAATCTAAGTCTACCATACAATGACATTAATCAATAGTGGAGCGTACGGAATCCAAATTGGTGATTAGAATGGGATACAGGCATTTTAAGATTAGTTTTTCTAGGATTTTGTCCATGATGGGTAAAAGGAAGATAGGACGTTAAGAGGATGGGTATTCTGGCGGCTTTGTGGGTTTGGGTATCATTTTGACAATGGATAGTTTCCAAGGGTCAGGAAGATATGTGGTTCGGAATACAGCATTATATATATACAGGTAAAGAATAATACTACTTTCTGAGGAAGCAGTTTTAGGATCTGGGGTGTGATTTGATCAAGGCCAGGATCTTTGTGAGAAGGTAATCTGTGTATGCTGTTGGATATTTCTGAAAGATGAATTTTTTTTTTTTGGAAGGGTCAATTAGAGTGGGATATCCAGTTCTGCTTCAATACACTCAAGATGGATTGGATTTAGGATATCTGAGTGTAGATTAAATGTTTTGAAGAGGTGCTGAGCAAATATTTGAGATTTTTCTTCATCAGATCTGGACCAGGTTTGGGTTTCAGTAATAAGCAGGTGGTTAAAATCTTTGAATTATAAGAGCTTTTTAGTGGTCAACCATAGTGATTTGTCAGTAATTGTAAGATCTTCCGTTAAGTTAAGTAAATTTTGAATTTTGTATTTTCTAATTTCAGCTTTTAGTTGGTTAGTTAACTTGTTGTAATATAACTTATGACTATAGATGTTGTAAGTACCCTATATGGCTGATAATAGCAAAATAAAATATTATTTCTTTTTTTCTGAAATTATAGAAAATGAGTTGAAGTAATGAAAGAAAAAAATATGATTAGATGTTTTTTGTTACCTTACAAGTATCTTTTCCAAGTATTCCTCCTGCACAAACGAAGCTTTCATGCAATCTGAAGTATTGACCTAGTCTTGTTTTGCGGAGGAGAGTGGTACATTGATCATTAGGTACCATTGGCAGATCAATTTTCTTGAGAATTACTTGATATTTACCTTTTTGGCCTGTATCATAACCATAATATTACAATATCGGAATAATTTTATTAATATTACTATTTTATTCAAAATTAATAAACTAATTTATAGTTCTGCCATATTTGGTACAGGAATTCACATTGAGTATCTTAGAGGATAATAATCAAATTTCTTGAGAAGGAGGAAAGATGTGCCACCAACATCAACATTGCGGGAGGACGTGCACTTGTGATGAAATACAGCAATTTTCTTTTTTTTTTTTAGAAAAAGTTTAAAAAATAATTATGGCAATGTATATTAATCACTTCCCTTGTCCTGATTATCAAACAGGAGATGAATTTAAGCTTAACTGACATAAAATTTGTGTGTGATCAGCCAAATTTAGTCCAGTAATAGTGTTGATTAGCCCACTTTCTTAATATTTAGTATTATACAGAGTGCTTAAGTCCTTATTGGCCTAACTCTGGGAGGTGATTTTAGAAAAAAATTCCCTGGATATATGGGCTGATTTTAAATGGAAAAGAAGTTAAATTCAATTTTGTCTTTTTTTAAGCATGTTTCCTCTTTTATAGGAAGTGATAACCTATTTATTTAAGGCAATTCAAAATTGTTTCATAGCAAAATAAACAAGAAATTCTTCAAATACAAGTAGTCTTTGTCAAAACCATTGAAAGGAGACTTTTGAGCAGCCAACCAACAGTAAGTTGTGTTTTTCATTAAATCGTGGATTATTCACATTGTTTTTATATTAGCCTACAGCTATACTAAAAATACCCCACTTTTATAAAACCTTCCTTGTTTAATAAGCTTTTGTAGCGGCAACAGTTTCCGGTATAGTTTCCGCTCTTGCCACATGGTACAACGAGTTCGCCTTCCCGCTACCATGCAGCGCTCTACGAGCTCGCCCGTGCATACTAAAATTGTATTTTTTATTTCTTATTATTGTATAGTAAAATACTTAAATTGTAAATTGAAATATTCATTGTAAATACTTTTTATTAATAAAGTTTAATGGCGATAACATATACTGACCAAAGCTCAAAATAACTGTAATAATAACGGCTCTGGGTAGCCGGTTTAGTCTTTGCGGAATGAATACCCCAGTCAAACCTCAAGTTGATAGGTCTTCTGATCTCCATCCCTTCAGGGTGGAGACCTATATACAGATGGTCAATATATGTATCATATACACTATTGGTTCAACGAAGTCTGCTCTTATTATTTCACATTATCCTTTTACCTTTAGCCTCATCTCTTGCAAGATCTGATCCATGCAAGTAGGATGCTGATCTGTCCGCTTGCAGTCCTATATACTGAGTCTGGATATTGATCCCTCCATTTTTGTGAAAGATTAAAATTTATTTGATATTCTGTCACTCCAGAGCATCTGTATTCTCAGAAAAAATAACAACTGAGGAACTATTACAAACTTTAAAGGGAGGAGATGGTTCGGGGAGGCGGTCATAAATAGATTAAAGTAGTGGCAAAACTGTTTTATTTATAATGATTATAACCAACTTACGTCTTGGCCTTAAGTCACATAACAAATTTCTTTTCCCTTTCACAAACTTGAAGGATCCCATACTTTTGCAACACCGATCTAATGTAGTTTACATGATACCTTGCTGTAATCCTAATTGTAATAGTTCCTATATTGGTGAAAGCAAAAACCATCTCAAAACCTGTATTTCCCAACATAAGACAACCATAACTTCCTGTAACCCTTCCGCCTCCAAACTATCAGAACATGCCTTAACCCTCAAATATGATTTTGAAAAAAACCTCTATTCTTGCCATGATCTCCAACCATGAAAAAAGACTCATTTCCGAATCCATTCACATCCACATGGAAAAGAATCCTGTTAATCATGAAGTAGATAAAAACTTCATTTCTTTAACATATGGGCACATTTTAAATCTTTTAAGTGGAAAATAACTTCTTAATTTTTTTATCTTTTTTTAATTTTGACTGATTACTTTATTTAATCGTTCATTATTTTTAAGTATTTTCGCTTTGTATGATTTTTCTTTTATTTTTAATTTTCTATTTACATTCTATATCAATGTATGATCATCCGTTTTTACTTTGTATTCATTGTACTTTTTACCATTATGTCTCAATATTATCTAATGTTTAAATGTAATTTTCTTACAATATGTACAATCAATTATGATTATAATTATTCATATTTGTTTGTTCTCTATACTTCTAAATTAGTTCTGCAATGTATGGTCTCTTATTTTTATATTTACATTTTACTTCTATGTACTTTTTACTTCTTTCATTTTTGTTTTAATTCACATAGTACTTCTTTCTATAATTTCTCAATTCTATTTTATATGTATATTTATAATTTATTAGTTCATAGATATCGTATTTTTTTCTTGTATCCATCAATATCTTCAAATTTTACATTCTGTAATACTCCAAGATTTGTTTTGCCTTTACAACTTAACCCCTTACAAGTTCCCAACCAGGTCAGAAAATTTCCCCAAGGGTGCTCTACCCAAGTTTTCAAGTTTTAACTAAAACTCCTTGCTGAACACCTCTATTATTTATAAGCCTCTATTTTTATTCTTTTGTTTTTTCTTATTTTATTGTATTTATTTATTTATTTTTTGTTTTTTTCTGTTCTTTCTTCACATCTCTTTGTGTCCATTATTTTATATTATTTATCCTTTTCTTCCAATCTCTCCTGAGATCTGTAGAAGTATATCATAATTGCGTGTATTAAATTATATATTATACTACAACAATTGTTACCATTTATTTACTTCAGTTTAGGATCTTGTTACTTATTTTACTCTGTTTATATAGTTTATTGTCATAAAAATTTTAAAAATCATAAAAATTAAAAGTATCATAAAAATTAATTTTTTAAGGTGATTTGGAAATTGATCCTTGTGGTATTAAATAACTAACTAAATGTTCTCAAAAGTCCCCGTTAAATGGTTTTGATAAATATAAACTCTGCTTGTATTTGAATGAAAATTTATCTGGTTTACTATGAAGAAATTTTTAATTATAGGAATGAAATAACTTTTGTTTTATTGCTTCTTATGAAAGAGAAAACATCCCTTAAGAAAAGACAAGAATGGATTTAATTCCTTTTCCTTTCGAAATCCGCCCATATATCAAATCAAATTTTTGTTGGAAATTTCATCTAGAATTACCTTCCAGAGTTTGACAATTCAGAACTGAGACATCCTGTAATAACTTACTGTTGAAGTACTAAAGAAATAAGTTTAAAAATAATTTATTTTATAGCAACACATTATTAGTACCTTTTAATTGTTAGCATGTTAAAACAATTCCACTGATGGATTTTAAAATATAGTTTAAGAAATGAGGCAATCAAATAGTTACCATATTGATCTTTTCCCCATCCACTGACAAAGCACTCTTTGCTCAATAGCACAATTCCTGGCGGAGGCAAGCAAACTGTGTCTACATTTAGACTGAATTCAAACGGCTTATCAACAACTAATAAAGCAAAATCGTTCCATAAATTTTCACCATTAAATGCAGGATGAATTAATGTTTGAACAACAGTCCTGTCCTGATAAGGAAACATTTCTTTTGCACTTTGAGTGTCCCATTCCCCTGCTCTAGCCTTTAGGTGACTATAATCAATTTTCCTAAAAAATAAATTGAATTATCCTTTTTTATTTAAAAAAAAAAAAGAATGACATATGAACATAGTTGTTCTAAAACTGTTTCAATTTATAATTAAATTGTTCAAAATGCAAACGTAAATGGTATTTTAATCCTTTACCTTTAAATGGATCATTTTTTAGTTTTGAAATAAAGTAATTGTTAAGAATTAGAAAAGTTAAGTACTGAATTATATTATATAGCTTAGATATAAGTGCAGTAGAATTTCAACCATTCAACCAATTCAAGTTTATAGAGGTCAGTTTCATCTAGGAGCAATTTTAGTGTTCTGGGTGTGTAAAAGGGTAATACATTCTAGTACCCTCAGTTAAAAATCCTATATGGCTGCGGGGTCGTTTCCTTTGAAGATAGTTCAAATCCAAGGCTGTTTTTGTTTTCAAAATGTTAACTACTTCATATAGAGGGGCCATCAGTCCTCTTTCATTAACTTAGTTTAATGCCACCTTGGGTCTGCCACCCTTGAGCCTGTAGACCAGCTTCCCCATCCAGAGTGGCATCCTAGGGAAGATGACCCTAGGGTGAGTATTACAGGTGACCTTTGAACTTTGATGAAAGGTGTGTGGTGAAATTTGGAAGAGTGCTGAGATAGTTAACTGTTGTGGTGAGAGTGCATGGTGTACTGAGCTCTGGTCCTTAGTGTCGTTACTCACCATTTGTGTGTCATGAAAAGATACTCAAGAATTTGAATTTAACTGGGATAAGTTCCTGAACAAATGGGATGTTAAGGTCATGGTATAGTGTTTTGTTGGTTACAAAGCAGGGAGCATCGACTCTTGTTCGAAGAACTACGGACTGAAAGAACTAGATTCGTCTGGTGTTAGAAGTTCCAAATATATTTAGAATTTTCTAGTAGATCAGTAATTTGTTGACTATTGCAAATTGAGTTTTTCTAGTCAGTACCCTGTATAGTTGGATGTATCGTCGTTTAATTTCTTTCTTCAATTCTGGTATGCGGATTGCATATTAGTCTTGGATCTAAGAGAAAGCAAAGATGCCGTACTATGTCTGAAAAAGGAAGCTGGATGGAATGAAAGTGGACTGGTGAACAGGATCTGCGTCGAAGCGTATTATAATGAGTTTGCATTTGAATTTGTTTACATTAATGCGCCAATTGTTGCACCGTTCCTCAATTAGAGAGATGTGTAGATTTAGGAATGCTGTTTCAGGATTAGAGTGGGATGACAGGATGTCAGTATCGTCAGCGAATGTTGCTAGGAGGGTATAGGTTGCGATGTCAGCGGTGAAGAGGATGTAGAGAACTGGGCGTAAGAATCTGCCTTGTGGGACATCAGCGTAAATTGGATAATAATTGGAGAATTCAGTGCCGCAGCGTGCTTGAAATGAACGATTTGAGAGGTAGGATTTGATTTAGGGTAAATTATTTTTCTTAGGTATTCTTAAGAAGTGATCATGGGAGAAAGCAGTCCAGATTGATCGTTGAATAGTCGTAGTAAGGTAATGTGCAGCATTGTCAAGGTTAATTTCATCAGAAAGGATTTGTTGAAAGAGTTAGAATTATAAGTGAAAATAATAAAACACTAGAGAGAAGTGTGTTGACTCAGTATCATGGTATCAGTGGCGGCCTTCGCTCGGCGGAAAAAAATAATTTATTTCTTTTGCTGTTTTATATTATGTTACATTTGTATTTTATTTCATTCAACATTTCTCTGATACAGTTACTTTATTGGTAGGCTAAAATTAATTATTTTAATATGTTTTATTTTTTTATAAGTGGCAAGTGCTCCTTATTTATAAGATCGAACGGCATCCCCAACAGGCGCTCCTCTAGATCGACGTTCCAGGACGTATGCCCCGGTTGCTTCAACCTAAGACCGGCACTGCATGATATTTATATATTGAAAGCATGGGCATCACTAATTTATACTCAGCCTGTGTTTGGATATAAAATGTGCTCTTTGCTGCACTTATTTTTAGTCTAATTTCTGAATTAATTTGTCTTGTTCTTGAAGTACAAATAACAATATATTATCTTTATAAATTATTTGAAAATTGTTATAATTTCAATTATTAGTAACATTAACATCTTACTTGGGAACACAGTGAGCTGCTGTTAAAACTACTTTTTCATGGATAAGTGCTCCTCCACATTGGTAGACCAACAGATCTCTGCCATCTTCTAGAGTACTAACTTTCAACAGTGCTATCTAGTAAAGAAGAAGAAATACAAGATTGCACGGCTGCTCAATTAAGTTTAACTGCTAAATTACACATAATACTCATCGATCAGTTGTGGGGTGCCCAGAAGGTCACTTTTTTCGCGTGTTCGCATATATCAGGACAACCCTCCATCGACTCGAGAAAGACATTCTATACAGAATTAAAGCCGATAAAATTTGAAATAATACTGTTTATATTTCGTTTTTCACTGCCTCACTTAGTTTCCGAAATATTTGTCCTCAAGTATCGCTAATTTGGAGAACAAAAAATTTACCTCATGTTTTTTACTGTATTTGACTAGCTAACTCTTGGTTGCTTTTGTTCAACGATTAACTCATAGGAAAGAAAGTTTTTAGCAACTAAATTTTCTTCAAGAATCTATATTATTTTACAAGTTTTTTTTTTCCAACGGTTCAAAAGTTAGATCAATCATAACTTTATATGACAATTCAGAGAATTTGGAGGAAAAAATGATTTTTATATTTTAGTTGTTTGGCAATAATAACTTGGTAACAATTGAGTATATTTTTATCAACGTTACATGTTAACACTTAGTTGACGTTTCGGGATATCTATTCCCATCTTCGGAACTGCAATCCCAATACTCATGTGGATGCCAGGCTAAAAATTCTTTGAGTTATAGTATTGTGCTTGTTACATTGCATATTTGAATATAAAAAGCACAATACTATAACTCAAAGAATTTTTTAGCCTTGCATCCACATGAGTATTGGGATTGCAGTTCCGAAGATGGGAATAGATATCCCGAAACGTCAACTAAGTGTTAACATGTAACGTTGATAAAAATATACTCAATTGTTACCAATTGGAAGTTATTATTGCCAAACAACTAAAATAAATAGACAACTTCCCAGAAAAAAGAAAAAAAAAATGATTTTTATATTTGTTATTATATTGCTGTAACTCTCTATCCATCTAAATCTGTATGTATAAATTACATATACATACATACACACACACACACACACATATATATATATATATATATATGTATATATATATTATATATTATAACAAATATTTTAAAAATAATTTTTTCATGAAAAATTTCGGAATTTTCATATAATTGAGCTAACTTTTGAACCGTTGAAAATAAACTAGTAAATAGTATATATTGTTGAAGAAAGTTAAATTATTAAAAACTTTCTTTTCCATGAGTTAATCGTAAAACGAAGCGGTCAAGAGTTAGCTTTACAAATAAAGTAAAAAACATGATGTAGTAAAATTTTTTTTCAGATTAGCGATAGCTGAGAGGGATATCTCGGAAACTAGGCGAGTTAACGGAAAAATATATGTAAACAATCATATTGAAAAATTTACCAGCTTTAATTTTGTATAGAATATCTTTATCGATGCGATGGATACTTTTCCTGATATAAGCGAAAACTCGAAAAATAGCAAAAAACATTATGCAATTTTTTTTTTTTTTAAATTAGACATAGTTGTGGACCGATATCTCAAAAACTAAGCGAGGTTGCGAAATAAAGGTATATAACCGATCATATTGAAAATTTTATCAGCTTTAATTTTGTATTGAACGTCTTTGTCAATGCGATGTATAGTTTTCCTTATATTACAGTAAACTTGAAAAAAGTAAACTTCACTACTTAGGAGTAAACATACTTAGTATGTTTACCTCCTTACAAGTCCAAACAATGTCCTAAGGTCAAAAATTGTGTCTTTGCCATTTCTTTCTATACCCTCTTTTCGATCATTCATTGACCGCCGGACTATATTATTAGTCAAACTTTCTATTTTACATTTAAATGCGCTGATTTGATTTAATATTTAAATAAGTTATAATTTGACTAACCAAATTTCTAATTCGATTTTTTATTTTGTTTTAATACCTCAACAACTACGAAGTTTAACAGATTAACCATTATACACCTCGATTAACCAGTGGAACAATTGATCGATCTGCTGATGCGAAAGGTTTTGTCTTCAAGTCGGCTCCCACAAGTTACTTGTTTTTTAGTTAAATCTCTGAGATTATTAATTCTTAACAGGTCAGGGGTGTATAAGAACAATTGATATTTACTGAGTGCAGTTATACAATTGTTTTTTCTTTCCTTTAATGCGATATTACCATTCGGTGATGTTCAGTAGAGCCTCTAATAAGTAAACTCGGTCGTAAAGCGCGACATCTCGTTCTTACCGTGTCAAACAGAAGTCTCGCCCATCTCGTCAAACACATCGAATCACCCCTGTCAGGTCCGGAGAACATCAAACCCAGCCAGGCACATCATTACAAAATACAATTGAGGAACCATAGCCTCAACCAGGTGCATCATCACCAGGGATATGGTTGTGTGAAAATAGTTCCAAGTTTCCCCGTTATGGCGAGTGATGGGGGCAGATCAGAAGATCTAAAAGATAAGGCTTAATCCGTATGAGCGATGCAGCTCTAGTGCTCAGACCAACACAGATAGTCAGACACGGCAGATGCTCCGAGGGCGCCTTCAAGGTAAAAAAGAGATGTTGTAAGCTGGCATAAAGATGGTAAGCTATTTTTGCACAATCAGTATAACCTACCAATCCATTAAAATACAGTCCACTGCATAAAAGTAGAATGTTGCCTATTAAAAACTCATGAGAGTTATTTGCCTAGCCTCAATTAAAAATTGAAAAGTTTCCTAAACAACAAGAGACAGCTTAAGAATTTTTTACACTCAACCCCTATCCGGAGCTTCAGAATGATATAGAGGTAATGGAGTCCGCTCCGATACCCAGATACCCGACAAAAAAAATCGATATTCGTTAGAAACATTAAAAAAAATAATCAGTTACTATGTTCTCATCTAAACAAAATAACAGGCTCTGGAAGCTACTAATATCTAAGCTAGAAAAAGGACACTAAAATATCATCAGGTAAGCTGAAACGTACAGAAACATTGTGAAGTATCTAACAGAAACCAACGCGGATTTTCATACTTATCAATGACGGCAAAAATGAGCTTTAAGAGTAGTTATAAGAAATCTACACCCCTCGACACCAACCGAAGCAACAGAAGAAGAACTGAAAACTTCAGGCTTCAAAGCACGGCAGGTTACAAATCTTCTAAAAGAGGGTAAAGAACAACCAAGGAGTACCCTTATTTTTGACTTGGAGCCAACTCGAGGGATCGAAAAATGTGTGACAGTATACAAGCCATATCCTCCCAGGAAATCGTGCAGTGCCACAATTTTGGAAATAAATTCTATGTGTAAATACCGTTCAAACGTATATTGTCCCAAATTCCATTCATAAAGGATATTTAAATTGTTCTATTTTTTTTTATATTTTACATATGATGAATATATGGTTATAATTACTTATTAATTATTTTGTAATTAATTTATACAATTAATTATTTTGTAAAATATAATTATGGAATCTAAAAAAATAATTGTTACCATCCAAGGAAATTCTCCGAATTGTGTTTCACTGCTGTTGTGTCCTGATATTCTAAATCCGACGCCATCAGGATGACGTTGTCCACATCCCTTCCTTTCCAAAGGCTTAATAGTGCTTTCTGTTGGTTCATTGCAACACACATTCATATATTCTTTACAAATGGTTCTGTAATCCATTCTGTAATTATTTAAGACATAATTAAACTACGTAATGTAAATTATACATACATATGGCTATATATATATATATATATATATATATATATATATATATATATATATATATATATATATATATATATATATCTTTTTTTTTTTCGATTGGCACTACAGACCATGAACATCTTTTGCCGCGAGATGTGGTCTCCTTACAGATGTATGCTGCATGCTGGAGCTCAGATACTCTAGAAAGGATCACCCAACCTCACGTTGCTACGAACCATGGTCTCCATGGTGCAGCGACAGGTAATCCATAGCTCCATAGCCGATCCCTTTATGGCCAATCTGGCAATGTCCTTTCCTCCGACTCACTCGGGTTCAAGGACAGTGACAAATCAGTTTAGATCCATGGATTATGGCTGCTCGGAGTCAGCAGTCACACGAGGACCTATATTTCTTTCCCTGAAACAGACCCGTACCTCGGGGAGGGGGGGAGGGGCATTAACATCCTGGTAAACCACATCCTGATTCCCGATTTAAGTACACGGGCTAGAGTCATCAGTTCTACGTCCGGTCAGTGTGGGTTGCCTACTATAGGCTGACCGGCCTCACATACTCGGGGAGGAGGAGACTCGGGCAGCATGGCTTTCCAGGGGGGTCACCCAAATCGGACGGTCACCCACCCAAGTACTAACCACGCTCGATGTTGCTTAAATTTGATTACCTATTGCAAGCGCCTTAGCCCGTACGGCCTGTACACCAGCTTCCCCTATATATATATATATATATATATATATATAAGTTAAGCGTCGTCGGACGTAAGAAATAAAAAAAAAGAAGGAAAAGGGAAAAGATGTAACATACACGACTTCTGAAATAACACTGCTTTATTCGTTCCATAAGCCTCCTTATATACACTTAGCCTGTTTATTTACATTACCAGATAGTATTAAGGCTGATACCGCCAGTCTCCGGTCTTTATCTCCCCCCCACCAGTTTACGAACAGGATTTTCGGAAACTTAAATATTGCTAGATCGGAGCCCACGGTGACCAGCCTTAACACTTTACAATTGGTTTTACAGTATATGCTTAAAAGAAAATAAAATAGTTCCACTCAACTGGAAAAATAATAAATAAAGAAGAAATAATTAACACTGAAACTAAACACAGCACTTTAGAACTCCTACCACTTGAGAACTCCTAACAACAACAAAAAAAAAACACAATTTCCTCTATACATGAAATAATACAACAAAAAAAAATCTTTTACAACTTGTTTTGTTTTGATAGCCACAAAAAAACATATTTCTCTGTTTTATATACAGCGGTGAGGGTACTACGAATCCGTACGTCTATGTCCCGACTCTATCATTGGGAGCTTTAATTGTTCGATATGAACGGTTCTCCTCTTTCTGGGCTCATTCACGCTCTCAATAGTTACCAGGTTATGCTCCCTAATAACAACCACTCTGAATGGACCCTCGTACCGTAGCAATTGTTTCCCTCTGTTGGTTCCCAATTTCCGGTAAACTATTGTTCCTATTTTGAGTTCCCCCATTTGGTCGCGAACCTGTACATTCTGCCTTTCCACCCGCTTCTGCTTTTCCCGCTTAATTCTCGCCGTTATCTTTCCCCATGTTTTCTCTACCTCTACCCTATTGCTGAGAATTTGATCCACTAACGGTTCGGTAAGCGTAGTTTCCCCATAATCCCGCCTTGGCCTGCGCATCCCGAATAGAACTTCCATGGGTGAAAACCCCGTTACGGAGTGGATCGAGTGGTTGTAGGCTGTTACCGCTTTCCTCATTGCCACATCCGGCTCCAACCCTTTTTCACCCTGATATACACGGACGTGGTCGCTTAACGTACTGTGCAGCCGTTCAATACCGCCCCTACCTTTAGGATGTCCTGGGGTGTTATAATGCCACGCAATTTCCAATCGCTTCACCTCCTCCCTAATCGCGGCATTGTCGAACTCCCTACCACCGTCCGAAGTAATCCTCTCGGGGACCCCATAGAACTGCACCCAGGTTTGTAGGGCTTCCGCAACTGCATTGGCTGACTTCTCCATCACTTGGTATGCCATCGCCACCTTGCTGAATATGTCGATTACCGTGACCCACTTAAACCCTTTCCAGGTAAACGTGTCAATCTGAAGGTCCTGTAGCGGCATATTCCCTGTAGGTGTCTCCTCCTGAACTCCTCTGGGGGGGTGTCGATCGTATTTTGTGCGCATGCATATCTCGCGTTTCCCAATGACTTCCTGGATGGACCTCTTCATGCCCCACCAGAAATACTTCCGACGCAATGCCTGCAGCGTCTCATTAACGCCTCGGTGATTGGTTTTCCCCTGGTGATATGCTACTGTGATTGCTTGCTGCTGCTCTTCGTCCTGTACCGTCTCCACAGCATACTTGCACCGGATGAATGTCCTGTCCACGCCTATTCGCTCGGACCTCCACATTCGCTTGATCTTATCCCATACCGTATTGTTTCCTACGTATAGGTAGTGCGTTTTACCCGCTTCCGAGGCATCCCTCAGTGCCGTACAGATTTGTTCTTCGCTGACCCCGGGCTCCGACCAAATGACGCGGATCCTACTTCTCCCGTACCTTCTGAAATCGATCTTCATGATTCCGGTTGTTCGTGTCTTCCAAATCACCTGACGGTGTTTGTCGTTCACGATCTCCTCTATTTCTTCCATCTCCGCTGCCCTTTCTTCCGCTGAGCTCTCCTCTTCTGGGGAATCTCCCCTGTCCTCAATCCCTGCGGTGTCATTTGCCCCTTCGCCATCGGGAGTCCATTCCCTCAAGAATTGGCGCACGTCCTGCGATGGTCCTCCCCTGTCCTCTTCAACCGCGTTGATCATGATGGCCCTCGAGAGCCAGTCTGCCACCACGTTTTCCTTTCCCGGCTTATACACCACCTCTATGTTGTATTGGCTTAGGATCTCCTTCCATCTTGTGACCCTAGCTGAGGTTTCCTTGAGTTTTCCTACCCACTGGAGGGGTTTGTGGTCGGTATGGACTCGAAATTTTCTCCCGAATACGTATGGCCTGAAATGGTCGATAGCCCATACTATCGCGAGTAGCTCCCTCTCCAAAGCGCTGTACCTTGATTCCGCACCCGTAAGCCGACGGCTCGCGTATGCTATCGGTCGTTCACCCTCACTCCCCCCCTGGGACAAAACGGCCCCTAGCGCGTATTCACTCGCATCAGTGGTTATATTAAAAAGCTTCTCGAAATCCGGAAACGCTAACACCGGCTCCGCCAGCAACCTATTCATACATTTTCGAATGTTATTCTCCATCTCTGGTGTCACCACAATCTTCGCGCCTTTCTTCAACAAATTGTTAATGGGTACCAAATACTCTGCCATCTCGGGTACGAATCTCCGGTAATAATTCAGCGTCCCGAGAAGCCTACGAATCCCCTTGACGTCCCGTGGTACCGCCATCCGCGTGATTGCTTCCACCTTTGCCGCATCCGGTCTGACCCCCTCGCTAGAGATAGTGTGGCCTAAAAAATTGATCCGCGTTTGTCCCAGCAGAGACTTCTCGCTTGACAATTTCAGCCCGAATTGCCGGAGCCTTTCGAATACTGCCCTCAGATGCTCCACGTGCTCGGTTTCCGTTCTGCTAAAAATCAGCAGGTCATCCATGTATACCTGGCATACCGAGTCATCGATGCCCCTCAAAAATTCGTCCATCAGACGCTGAAACGTTATGGGCGCATTCTTCAGACCAAACGGCATCCTGGTGAATTCATAGTGCCCCCTTTCAAATGTGAACGCTGTTTTGTGTTGGTCTTCCGGGTGCATCCGTATTTGGTGGTATCCCGCCTTGAGGTCCAGCGTGCTAAAGACCACGGCCCCACTCAACCTATCGAGTATATCCTCGAATCTCGGGATCGGGTACTTCTCGTCTACCGTGTTATCGTTCAATTTACGATAGTCTACTACCACCCTGTATTTTTCCTTATTATCCCCCGGCGCTGCCTTCTTTTTCACCGCCCACAGGGGACTATTGAATGGTGAGGTGCTATCAACTATGATTCCCTGTTCTTTTAGACTATCTAGCTCCTCCCGAATATGCTGTCTCAACGCCTGCGGGTATCTTCTCTCTTTCACGTAAGTTACCCTCTCCTGTTTCAGTGGGATTTCGTGCACCGTTCTCCCTGTTACTCCTAATACCTCACCTTCCCTGAAGAAGATATCCCTAAACTCCTCTTGTAGCAACTTCCTCCAGTCCTCCACTCTGTCCACCGCTCCTATCCGCACCCTTCTTTCTCTCGCGACCCCTATACATCCGAACTTCCTCTTTCCTAACCTAACGCTCCAGACTCCTCTACGGTTCCTAATGCTCGCCCCTACCTGACCTAACAAATCGCACCCTACTATGACTTGGTATTCCCGAGTCATGTTCCCTACCACATGCACCGTTAGCTCACCCTCTTTCCCTGTCCACCGATCAAGCCCAATTGTCGCCTCACCCTCTACACTACAGGGACCACCCAGAGTGATCAGCTGGCAGTCACATTTCTGTATCCGGAGTACCCTCTCGCTCCCGCACCCTTTTCCTAACGCCCTTCGAGTCATAATAGTGCTCGAGCTACCCGTGTCCACAAGACACTTTACTCCCCCGTCTACTTCGATAATTGGCAACCAGCATGGCTTACCTCGGATGTTGTTGCATATTGCTGTGCGGTCGCCTCTCTGCCGACACACTCCTCAGATGTCGTCCCGCTTCCTCCTTTCTGCCGCCGCTCGTCGCTGCTCACTCCGTTGGCTGCGCCTACCTCCTTCACCTCCGCTGCTGCCTGGTTCGTCCGTCTCCGTTCCCGACGCTCCTGACTCCTCGGTTGCCTCCTCCGAAGATCCGTCCCGCTGATGTACCCTGGCTCGTCTCTTCATCCTCTGCACATTCACCTCCATGGGTTCGTCCTGAGGTCTCTCCCTCCTGTGAAATATGTATGGGCACTGCCTTGCTATGTGCCCTTCCGTCCCGCACTCGAAGCATCTGGTGCGCGGACATTGCGCTACTAAATGTCCCGGCTTCCCACACCCGTGACATTTTCTCTCTTCCCTCCGGGGCCCGTTCCTCGGCCTCGACGACTGTCCCGATCTTCTTTCCCTCGTCGGGGCTTTCTCTCCACTCGGCTGCCTTGTCTCCCTCTTCTTCCAACCTGTCGGGGCTGTCCATGGTCGTCTATCCGTCACTCGGGTCCAACCCGGTTCTTCCACATCCATCCGTGTCTCCTCCTCTCTGGCACTTAGGTCGATCATCTCCTGGGCGCATTCGAGGAACGATCGCTCTCTGGGCAGTCCGTCCCTCTTTCCCGTTTCTTTAGCCAGCTGGACTTTCAATATTGTCGACAGAAACTCCATCCTGGCTTCGACCTCTCCCACGCTCATTGTTTCCCGCATCTTCTCGGTTATGCGATTGTACTTCGCCACGAGTACTCCCGCATATTGCCCCCTTGACTGTCGTTGGGCCCGCCGCTCCCTAAACATTTGGAATATGTCCTCTTCCGGTGTCCATCTACCTCCTCCAAACGCCTTCTTCAGCCGCTCTTTGATCACCGGCCACGGGGTCTCCTCGTCCGCTTGGATCTGGTTCAGGACGTTCCTCCTTACTCGGCACACAAGAGCTGCTTTTAGTTCCTCCGCGTCCCCTAGGTTCACCAGGTCCTCCGCCACCTTCACCTCGATTCTTGACATAAGACGATCTCCGCCTTTCAAGAAATGGTTGAGCTCGCCTACCTCGCCTCCGAATCGTTCTAGGTCTGCAATGGCCCTCCGTAAGTCCTGCGTGGTTGTTGCTCTTATTTTCATCCATTCCAAGGCATTGGCGTGTGCTTCTGCCAACGTGTCCCTTGGTAATGGAGGGATCTCCTGGATCTGAGGGATCTGTGCTACCTGAGGGACTTGAGGTATCTGAGGTACCTGAGGCGCGATCTGGGGTACCTGATTGATCTGTGGAATCTCCTGAGGTTGAGGAATTTCCGGTACGCTTAGTACTCCCGGTCTGATCAATCCTTCTGTCGGCATTTCACCTTTTCCTTAAACACCAAACAAACAAAAAAAAAAATATCTACTTAAAAAAAAATTACTTCCCTGACGTTGTCCCGGGTTTCGGCACCAGTTAAGCGTCGTCGGACGTAAGAAATAAAAAAAAAGAAGGAAAAGGGAAAAGATGTAACATACACGACTTCTGAAATAACACTGCTTTATTCGTTCCATAAGCCTCCTTATATACACTTAGCCTGTTTATTTACATTACCAGATAGTATTAAGGCTGATACCGCCAGTCTCCGGTCTTTATCTTATATATATATATATATATATATTTATGTATGGAGCGGGGTAGCTCAGTGGTAGGGCACTGAGCTTCCAATGCAAAGGTCCCGAGTTCGAACCCCGGCTCATGGCAAAAAATTTATTTATCTGTTTCATTGGCCGTGGGGCGACTTTGGGTCAGGAGTCCCTCCTGGGGCACACCCAGCCTCTATAAAGTGGGTACCCTTAATTAAATAATTAATTAGGGGGGAAAACCTGGCGGTTGAGCGTGATCTCGGTCAAATCACCTCCTTGCACAACCGTGGACCTAGAAACAGTGCTTTCCCTAAATAGTACTGAACCCCAGACCCTTTATGGGTTGTAGTGGGTACAGGTTTTTTTTTTTATATATTTATGTATATATATAAAACAGATGCGCGTTTTGTATATATATAAAATTTGTTGCGCGCATCTCTTAACTTTCGCTTATCGCTTTACTTTGAATATAATTGTCGTGATACAAGAAGAAATATGTCAAGTACGTCACGGTGGTTATGTAGTCTATAAGCGTTCCATAAAAGGATAGCTAGGAGCTTTGCACTCATCGTGAAAAATTAAACGGGATTTTCGTCAGGATTCTGGTGAGAAGAGTAAAAAAAGTATAACAGTTAACAAGTTAAAGTTAAAAGTATAACAGTTAAAAGTTAGTATAACAGTTATTTTTGATCATTTTATGTTATCGCCATTAAGCTTTATTTATAAAAAGTACTTACAATGAATATGCATATTTCAATTTACAATTTAAGTAGTTTGTAATACAACAATAAGAAATAAAAGATACAATTTTTGGTATGTTGCTCGGGCGAGTTTGTAGAGCGCTGCCTGGTAGCGGGAAGGCGAACTTGTTGTTCCTTGTAGTAAGAGCGGGAATCTGGTGCCGCTACACGTTAATATGAAATACTTCCACCAAGCGGATATCACAGAAACTAGTGCTAAGGAAAATTATTCATTGTCATGTTCGTTTTTCTCAACCCAAAATTGGTAACAATTGGCTCATGAAGTGCTGGAAATATTTAAAAATTTGTTTTTTGTTGGCCAGTGTAATCAGAAGGAATGTTTTGAGCGCTAAATTTGTTTTAAAATTGTTTGCAGTGGATAGCGATTTAAATAATAAACTAGTTCGAATAGCATCAGTTCCTCTAACTCACAGATATTGTAAAAATAAAACTCCCTCCCCGTTGGTAACAGCATTTTAAAATTGTGTAACTATAATGATATTATTCATTTTTAAAATAAACCTCCCATATTTAATTGTATTTAAGCTTTATTTTTACTAAACTTATAAATAACTTCTTTACCCGACTTTGACAACATTCCGGAACCCCAACGTGATCCTTATTTTAACGAATATATTAAATAAAATTTTTCATATTTTCATCTAATATTCACTAACGGATTTAAGAGACCTTAAGGAGTAGGGGCTACTGCAAATAATGCTAATACAGGGCCCTTATTAGTATACAGGAAAATACTTCAGTTTACACGGCTGAACTGAAAGCGATATTAGCAGCTATAGATTATATAAAAGACAACCATTATAATAAAAATTTAATTTTGACTGAAAGTTTAAGTGCCATAAAAAAATATGAAATCAAAATTATAATCCAACATCATCATATTTAATAATTTCAGTTTTAGAAAAAAATCTTTTTATTGAACGACAAGGAAAAACAATTGTATTTGCTTGGATTAGGTGCCACGCAGGTATTAAAGACTGTACATCAGTTAATCATTTAGCGAAGGAAAAAAAGAGAGGTTGATAAACTTCACTTACTTTCTTCAGATATCAAATCTGAATTAAAAATTTCTAAGAAGACCGAACGGCAGGAAATTTATTTAAAAAAAGAAAAGGGGGGTGTTTTATATATCTCACTGTCCACTGGTAACAATGGAATCCTGGTTCGGTAATAGCCACAGGCGGATTTACGGGGGGAGGCTTTCGGGCTGAGGCCCCCCCACCCTCCAAAATGGTAAAATGTATCCATGTTTTATGGTAAAAAATATTAAAAAATTATGTCTTAAAGTATTATTGCTCGTTTAATAGGACATTTAATAGGACTTCAAGAATCACTTAAACACCATTTCATATAGGTAATTAGTATCTTTTTGTTTTCTAAAGTAATTATCGTTATATATATGAAAAAAAAAAGCTTCCGGGCTGAAGCCCCCCCCCATAATTAAATCCTGGATCCGCTAGTGGTAATAGCAAAGCTCCTAGAATTTGGATAAGAACAATGTACAGATTAAGAATTAATCATGATATATTAGGTACCTATCTACATATTATTAAACGAAAAGACAGCTTACTGCGAATTGTGTGAAGTTAACCGACGACCGAAACATATAATGATGTCATGCATTAAATATGCTATAGAAAGATATAATTTCACTAATGGAATTAATATTCTAATAAATACTGACAATCCATCTTATATTGTTATAATAACAAATCCTAATTCGGTTCTGGAGCCGTTATCTCACTTCGTAAACTGCATAGGTATTAAATTGTAAAAATTAAAGTTAGTTAATGATCCAGCTAAATAATCATTTGAAAGAAGTAATATTTAAAATTTTGGCTAATTGCGTCCAGCTAAAGCCTTGTATAAAATACAAAAAATATATGTTTTTGGGGACGCTTTTTCAGAAAATATTGTTGGATTTAAGATCGTTCAATTTAGTTTTGCGATTCACGGTTCAATATATTACCGGTTTTAAATCCAACTGTATTTTTATAATAATAGCCCCGTCAACGTAAGAATGGACCCTTATTTTTTTTTTTTAAAGTGCCTCTAATCTATGTAGCCGCACATGGCACCTAAATTTAAATAAATAAATCTATGATAAACGGGAAAGGAAATTATTCGTTACTTTTTCTTCGAAAATTAGAATGAATTATTCGTTATCTGTTATTCAATATAATTTTTTCCGAACACTGTTATATTTATAAAATACACGATTATTGGAGAGACAGGGTTTGCATGATGCTAGTAATTATAGATGTCACAGTTACATGAACAGACTTGTTAATAATAATTTTTTTTTTTTTTGTCCAACCCCACCTCACCTGACTGTTATTTTACACTGGGATTTTCCCGGGCCAAGGGCTAAAGATTAATGCCAGAGTTAAACCTCTCCGACACCGACACTCGAATTCGTAATTATTTTAGATCTTGAAAACTTATGTTTACCAATCATCTGGTTGCTAGGCAACGCGTGTTTTTCAAACGGTTTAATCCATCTGGCCACTTCACTCAATTTATCCTATTTGATCAAACCTTGGGGTCGAATTAATTAATAGATTATATAGAAATGCTTGGTGGTTGAGCGTGATCGTAGACCGATCACTTCTCTACACAATCGTTGGCTTTGAACCGGACTTCCTTACAAAGTACTAAACCCAAGCCCTCTACGAGTTGTTGAGGAACAAGTTTTTTATTTATCATTTAATCTATTCTGTATGTCTATAAAGTGTTTTATTCCTTCCTTAGGCCTTGTGGCATTTTTTTATGAAATAGACAATGTATAATATCAATGTAAATTTACCTGCGATTTAAAATTCCTGTGCCGTCAGTTGTAATTGTCCCATTGATGCATTGGTAGTAAGGGACACAAATGCAAGGTTCACCGAATACATATTTTATAAGCCTATCAATATCATCTGCTCTGACTAAACTTATTAGGCAGGCTATCAGTAAAGTCCTCACAACCATTATCTGAAAATGAAAGGGTATATAGAAAATAACATTGGAGTGATGGTTGAATGTAGTGAATAATATAAAAGAAGTTAGGTGGATTGTTCATTCAAAGAAACTGAATAGATGATATTTATTTTTATTTTTGCCGACGTTTCGGCTCAAAGTCCAGGCCTTCATCAAGGCTAAGAAAATACTAGACAATAGGTATGAGAAACTATTAAATTATGAAAAAATATATATTAATAATAATGTTAGGAACTTATAAATAAATTAATAACAGTAACAGAAAGGAACTTACGAAATAAATAATAACGGCAACAAATTTGGGGACTAATGAAATAATCTTGTTTGATAAAAAAAAAAAAAAAAAAAAAAAAAAAAAAAAAAAAAAAAAAAAAAAAAAAAAAAAAAAAAATGGATGGAGTTACTGGGAAGAAGAATATCCAGGAGATAGGGAAGAGCTACTATGGGTGTTTTAATTCAGAATATATATAGACAATTTTCTTCATATAATTTATAAGGAACCAATCAATACAACATAATAAAATAAAATTAATAAAACCGGTCACCTAAAGCAGGCACAAATATTAGTTGCTTATAGCAATAAAAGTCAATTATAAAAATTGGTTACTTACAGTCTGATACAACGCCCTCAGGAAATGAATTTGAAGATGGACAGTACACTGACAACTGAACCACCCGGGAATATCCTTTCCTCGTCATATCACTTTTGCACCCGATAACAAAAAAGATTGTTTTTATGACATCATTGTCTTTGTCTGATTATTTTCTTGCTATCACACTATTTATGGGAATTCTCGAAAAAGAAAGCATTGAAAATTAAAGCACTATTGATAACAAAACCAAGGATGAAAATAAAATTTAGGTATTTTGAGCCTAAATTGTTGTTTCAAACTACTAATTGGATCTCACAGAATTATTTGGGCCATCAAACTTGAAAATCCGTCAAGAGTTTGCTCAAAAATCGTAACATACCCTTTAGCGTAAAATCCAAACAAACGTGGCTTCGGTCAAAACCTGTATAAAAATGGTGCTAATTATAATGAACTCCGAACCTCCAAAGCAATGCCCGTTAAAAATAACCGATATTAAATTTAATTTTAGAAGCCTCTTGAAACTGAAAATCTCTGTAAACGTACAGATTACGGATAATGCATTCCGTAGCCAAATTATCATTGCTAAAAATTTCAAGCTTAGTCGCCACACCGTTGTCTGCTCACTAGAGATAAGAGTACATGAAACACGAGATAGCAGCTCTCCAAGGCACTAACTATATCAAAATTGGTGGAGCGATTTCCACGACAAACTAGTGTAAGGAGTATTGAAGACAAACTACTGCGACGAGCATCTCAAAAAGCATCCTTGTAACCTTCGCTATTAAATCTGGTTAATGACCAACATTACTGCGAACTCAGCTATCAAGATTTTTCAGAGAGATTTATTTTTAACTTGAGTTGCAATCAAGAATGTGAGATCCTTAAGACGGAATTCCGCTGAGATTAGGTGGTGTTTTATGGAGAGGAGTAGATGGATATTTAGTATGGGGTTGAATGAGTTGGTTATATTGTATAGAAATTTTTATGTGAGAAAGTTAAAGATTGATTATTTGGGGTAGTGGGTGAAGGAAGTTTGGAAATGAGAGAGTATTGTGTATGGAGTGAAGTTAGGGTTATATGAGTTAATTATGAAGAGGTGAGGGAGGGGATGAGGAGGGATATGGGTGTGGGTAGTTAGTATTTTAGTACGTTGGTGATTTGTAGTGTTAGATGTTGTGGGTAAGTTGGTGGTTGAAGTTTTTGGGTGTGAGGTTGTTTGTTAAGTTTTATTTTTATAATAGTATTTTTGTTAGTGTGTTTGTGTTACTTTATTTGTTGTTAATTTTAGTTGTTGTGGTATTGGGTGGATGGGATGTGTTGTGGTTTATTAGTGGGGTGAGGGTTTTTTAATGTTTGTGATTGATTGATTAGGTATTCGACAGGTTGTTTATGTAGAGTGATTTTTAAGTTGTGGGAGTTTTTAGATTGTGATGGACATATCTGTAATTTATTTTTATTTTGTGGTTTTGTTGGGGGGTATTTGTTTGGTTTTGTTGTTTGGTTCTTTGGTTATGGGGGTAAGTGTGTGAGAGGTAGGGTGGTTGTATTATTTTGGGTTTGTTTTAGTGTTGTTTATGGTTGGTGGATTGAAGGATTTTGTTTGTTTTTTTGTTGTGGTTTTTTTGTTTATGGTGTAGGTTGTTTGTTAGTTGGAGGTAATTTGGGGTTTTGTATTTGGATTATTTTATTTGAAGATTATTATTCGTTATTTTATTTTTGGTTAAATATATGTTGTGAAAATTGGTTTTGATAAATTAAGATGTTGTGTAGTGTTGTTTTGTTGTATATTGTTATTTATATAATTTTTCATTGTGTGTGTAAGGGTGGGATTGTAAATTGAGTGGTTTATGTGTGAGTTGCTATTTATTTTTTATGTTTTTTTTTTATGTGTTTTAAATTAAAATTTTTGGTTGGAGGTGGTGGTTGGGGTTGTAATATTATGTGGTTAGGGGTGTTAATAATGTATTACAATTTACTTTTGTTGTGATTGTTAGTGTTGATTACTTTTAAACATTTAAAATAAACATTTAAAATAAATAAGAACTGCCATTGAAATTAATAAAAAAGGTATACAAAGAGAAATTAATTAAAAATATTTACCTTGGTATTTAAATTGCCAAATGGCTTTGTCAAAATATCAGGTAACTGCATATCGCTTGCACAATGAACAAAGGTACAATAAGCTACCTACTGCTTCTCGAAAGGCGTAATTGGTCTGCTTGTCTGATAAAGTAATTGAATTTTCTTATTATTTTTTTATTGCACCATAAGTATGACGGAACGGATTGCATCATTCATTCCTCTCAAGGACCTTTTTCACTCCTACTTCACTTCTGTTTACTAAGATCCTGGTTTTACTTTCTTTGAAGGAATTCATTTCTTCATTGATGGCCTCTATCCATTTTTGTTCAGGCCCATTGACAGCTTCATTGCATGTAAGTAATACAAAATCTTCGAGCTTTTTAGGAGGTTTTTTAATTTTTTTTTCCACGTTCATATTGATCTGATTCAAAAACAGGATTTTCAACATCATTTCATTCGCCTTCTAAAATATTGAATTGGGTTTTACTTACTTCTTTCAATTGTTCCACAACTGCATCTGCAGTACTTCCGTCTGTTGAGTTGTCATCGATTGTGTCGACTTTTCTCTCATCTTCGTCTAACTGCATCTCAGTTTCTTATTTATTACCGGAATAAATGTCTTTTAAGTGTATTTTAATTATTTATCCATTCGATGAAGACCTTTCATTCACCATTTCTGTTTTGAAAACTACATCTCTGGATATAATCATTTTATATTTTTCAGGGTCCCATACTAATTTAGAGAATATCCTGTGAATATACATTTTTTTGTTTTACTCTCCAATTTTTTTATATGTCCCATGGTGATCAAAATTCCGTGCCGTGGTACTTCTCACGAAAGCGTCCTCATGTCTTGGTAAGTATCATCCCTGGGATAAGTTGCTTTGAGGTCCTTAGTTCGTTTTTGTAATTTGGCCGTTCAACCCTGAAACATTTTGTTAGAAGATCTGCTATTGATGATATTCAATGATTGTCTAGATAAGGAATTCTTCCCAAACAAATGGAAGGTCGCCGATTTGAGACTCCTCTACAAGGAAGGGAGCAGGAACAAGCAGCTTCTTAAGTTATATAGACCTATATGCCTCCTCCCTGTGATGAGCAAAGTTCTGGAGAACCTTATTTTAACTAGCTTACGACCAGTTCTTACACAAGCGAGTCATTCACGGCAAAACGGTTCAATAAAAGGAAGGTGAACGCTGATGCCATGCTTCGAGTTTGTACAGATGTTGAACAGAAGACGGAGCGGTATGTTATGTTGCTACTCTTTGATATATCCTCTGCCTTTGATAGCGTTTGGTGGCCCTTGGTGCTGCAGCATCTCCAGAAGTACGATGCCTCCAGCAACTTATAACGCCCTGGTAAGAAGCTACCTCGAGGACAGGTTCGTAAAGGTTCGAGAGATTTCCTTCGAGATAGAAGCTTCCATAAAGAGGGAGGGGATGTCTTCAGTCCTTGGCTCGGCTCTATGAAAGCCGGCCCTAATACCTAATGAGATACTGGATGTTTTCGAAGAAGAGCGATTCCCCGCGACGGCTTATGTCGACTATCTTGCGGCTGTAGTGGCACATAACAGCAGAACCGGAATAAGAGAAGAAACAGAACGATGCGCCAATCTGGTAGAACGATGGTGTGAGATGAATAAATTGAAAATGGCTGCTGCAAAACATAGACCATCCTCTTGAAAGGGAAAACAGATCGGGCTCCCCCTATATTTCTTAACATGGGGAATAAGAATACGTCAAAGTGAGGTTGTCATCTACCTTGGGATGAAATTCGGAAGAGGATTCAATGTTACCCCTCACTTGGACTACTTCGGAAATAGGGTTTCCCTAGGCTGAAATGGCCTGAGTCGTCTGGGAGGTGCCTTTTGGGTCCACAGATACTCAGCTACCATGAACATTTATAATGGCGTGATACTGGGTATTCTTGTGATGTACGCGTTTCCCGCTGGGTTCAGAAACCATTCACACCATCAGAAACGCAGATTGGCGTCGATTTAGCGGATGACTTTGATGCGAGTCACTAAATCGCATAATATCAATAATATTTCTTCAGCATTCCGTCACCACCACGATTAGATGCGAAATGGATTATCCCGGACTATTAGGTCTCACAATTCCTCACAGAGTATGTAGATTTCTGTGCTAAGTTGCATGGCCTTGGAAAGGACATTGATCCCCTATGCCCCAGTTGCGGAGTTCCGAACACAGCTAGCTGAACATATTATTGCGGACTGCACCGTATTTGAGGCACTCAGGGCTAAACTTTTGAGGGAAACTGGGCTCTACGTCTTCCCTAAAATTTCCCTCAGTTGATGACCGAAGAGAACTACCCGTTCTTCAAGTCTTTAGTTACGGGTGGAAAACTGCAGTTGGCCCTACTCATTTTAATGTTCCAGGAAGAGAACCATTTGCTGGACGACCGCCGGACAGAGGAGGCAAGGAAGAAGAAGATAGAAGCCACCTGGAGAGGAGCTCATGACACATATGTTAACAAGACAGCCAGATGTTAATTGGTGACATTCGCATAACCGGTAAAGCTGCCCAAAGATAAGGAAGGAAGGTTAAATAAATAAATATTTATATTGTTTGGCATTAACTGTTTCCTTTTACGACTGTATAATTCAATTATTTATTTGATTATAATGAATAATCAATGTCGTGAAATATTTTTAGTTGGAAAAGAATGCCAATGATAAAGAAAGCATGTATATTTATTTTATTTCATTGTGAGTATTTTGATTTGTTTAAGTACCGGTATATATACAAATTTTATTATTGATATCGATGCAGTCTATACTATTAAATATTAAATAATACCGACGATAGCATTTACGAAAACCACATATGTATATGTACATAATATTGTCGGAGTACTTATTATTTTAAGCTCATGGTACATATGGAAGCTTGTTCTAATCTTTTGGAGTGAGCTCAGCCGCGCTAGTATTCCTTTGGTTCCTCCAATACAATCATTCTCTGTTACGATCTGTTATTTCTGCTTTAGTTAATTATCAAATTCTTTAATATTTTATGTTTATCTATTTATATCAGAGATCAATATAGAATGGTTAATTATTTCAAATAAAAAATAATAAAAAAATACGGTACGTTCGAGAAAGAGTTATTGAAAATTAGCCATTTAAGCCCTGTTTGAGAACATCAATGAAAATAATACCAACACTGCATTAAAAGCTGCATGATTTTACACTGATATAATAAATTTAATCAAAATCGTTAAAGAGGTTTTTGAGAAAATCTTAAAAATGTGATAAATCGATGATATAAAGTGTCACTGACGGCAAACCGATTTTGACGAAAAAGTTGTTGTAACATCCCAGGTATATAAAAAAACTTGAATATACAATGCCACTTTCGAACGAATTTTTGTATTTGAGCTAGACTGTTAACACACACACACACAGAAATACAGACACACAGAGAACATTTTGCAGGACTTGGTTATTTGGACTCAGGAGACCTCAAAACCTGTATTTCGGTTGAAAACTGAGATTAAAAAATTATGTTCCGTATATAGGTAAGTGAAATTAACAATAACATTAAGCAAACCAATTTATAAAGAGCTAGGGCCCGAGGACGTATGGGATTTAAGATATTAGGATTTGTTAATAGGAGCACAGTCAGTAGTATTGAGTAAATATCGATCGTCTAAGAGAAATATTGTAACAATAATATCTTCATATACTACATTCAATAATATTGACCATGTAAGGTGGGCAAATGACTAATGGCTACACTGCCCTTGAGCAAAATTCTACCCTACCTGTTATGAAAATGGCAACTGGTAACTAGATTACATAGTGTTATAATTTTTAGTGTTAGAAATAATTATTTGAAAACATTATATTTATCTAGAAACTATGATAAACAACAAGAGAAGTTTTTATTTATTTATTTATCTACCCGATCGGGTCATTAGCGGCTTTAGATATAATCAAATTAGGTGTACAAATTTAATGTCTTTTATAAATTCAAACACTTTTTGTATCTTTTCTTTGTCATCTGAAAGTGCTTCAGCTATGTTGGAAGGTATATTATGTTTTGTTCTGGTATCAGAGTATAGTCTGCCAGTTGTTACAATGTGTTTCAGTGTAAGTGATGTGTTGCATGTTTTACAAAATGGTGGTTCCAGGCCTCTCATTATGTAGCCGTGGGTAAAGGCTGCATGTCCAATTCTAAGCCGAGTTAAAATTGTTTCTTCTTTCCTGTTCTTTCTGGAAGAGGTCGTCCACGGTTTGGTATCTTTTTTGATTTCTTGCAATTTATTCGTAGATTGGTTCCACTTGAATTGCCATTTTTCATTTAGGATTTTTTTTGCATTCCAATCTCCAGTCAGCAGTGGTCGTTAAATTGATCATTGTGGTTCCTTTAGTTTTTCTTCTTGCCAGGTTCGCAGCTCTGTCTGCAGCTTCGTTCCCAGTATGCCGCAATGGGAGGGTGCCCATGCGAGGACGATGTCTCTGTCTGATGACTTCTTCATTTCCCAGAGGCAGTTTTTGATTTTCCTGGAAATGGCATTGTCGGCTTTGCCTTCGGCAATGGCCATTAATGAGCTTAAAGAGTCTGTAACTATAAGGCCATTTTTTATGTTTTTTTCTGTTAGTAATAACAAAGCCTGATATATGGCGAATAGTTCGCCTGTGAAGACGCTGTTTATTTGGGGTAAATTGAATTTGAGACACTGGTCTGTCAGTATTACTGCACATCCTACGTCACTATCTGTTTTTGACGCATCTGTATAAAGGGTTGTGTGGTGGAGGTATTTGTGTTTCATTTCTGTAAATAAGTGTTTTTTGACGAATTGGTCGTCGTCAGTTTGAATTTTCCTAGCTAGAGACGTATCTGTTTTTATGATAGAGTTATTCCATTGGTAGAATAATTTCAACAAGGGAAGTAAATAGCAACTAATGGCTCTTAAATAAACAACACACATAAAAAAAAAATAATCACATTATCATTAGGTTCTTTTCATTAGGTAGTTGTGAAAACAATTATTTTGATTTTAGAAGTTATTGTTGAAATTTATTTCCATCATAATATAAAATATTGCAGCAGACAGTTTTAACATCTCATGATGCTTGATCGTCTTCAGTATAATACTATTTTAAGGGAATAACTGAATAAAATATTTCGTTTATTCTAAATAGTAATATAATATAATAAAAAAGTAATATAAAAGATAGAACAATATACTTTACAAATAACTCTAAGAAAGCAATCAATTGCTAACAGAAAAAAATAAACAAATAAATATTTAAACAAGGCTATTGAGAATACAATAAATATTTATGTGTGTGTGTGTAAGTATAGAATAATTATTTTTGTCAGTCAAACATTCAAAAACAATTTAACTAGCAATAACAAGACAAATTTTTTTAAAATATGCATCTGAAAAGCATAAAGAATCTCATGGGACTTACAGGAAGGCACTAATCCATTGATAAATTCTATTAAAGCAGTCAAAAACAATTTATCTAACAATAACAAGACAAAAACAAATAGAATAGAAAATAGATAAAACATGCATTATGAACGTTTTAAGATGGAAAAGGTACGGTGGGAGATATTGGATACATGGTTTTTCCAGGAAAGTGTTTGATCCAAAGTTTTTGGAGACGGAATAAAATTTGATGGCATTATCATGTAGAAACAGGGTTGAAGTATTAGAAACAGTTTTAAGGAGGTAATTGGAGCCTATTAAGAATGCCTATGTCTTCTATGCATTCAACTTCAACTTCTTAACTCTCGCCCAGTCACAAATCGTATCCAAGTCTTCTTGAAGTTTTTCTGTTGCTGGTAACAGATCAGAAGGAGGATAGGTATATTTGGAAATTGTCTGCGTACATGTGGTATTTGGAGTGATGGATCGGGAGGGGAAGATCATTAATATAAGTAGCAAACAGAGTAGGGGATAGAGAGGAACCTTGAGGGATACCACATGAGAGGAGAAGGGTCTTAGAGATATAAAAATAAAACAAAAATTGAAGTTAGTTATTCATTGATGGAAATTTTATTTGATTTACATTGGTTAATGAGGAAAACAAGAATAAGGACAACCTTTTCCAAAAAATTTCCCTCAATAAAGGTTATAACTTTTATAATTTTTTTTTTATTTATTTTTTTTACAAAGTTTAAAAATTACAATATGTATTTACATTAAGAGCAGTAGTTCCAAAATATTTTGTTGGTAATAATATATCAGTAAAAAATTGATTTACTCAATAATTTATAAATTTATAATTTTGTAATTGCATATTTTAGTGTTCCAGAATTTTCTTGGTAATACGGCCTCTTTACAATATAATCTTATTAAATCTACCATATAAAAATTTAAAAAAAAAATCTGAAAATAAAGAAATAGTGTATTATCAACAGTTTGATTTAAAAACATTAATATTTTAAACTAAACATAGCATAATTAATTTTTTAAACTAAATATTTACAAATAATTGGGCAATTATTTTAAAATATTTATTATATATATTTAGATGTAATGAATTTTAGCTTTTCATATTGCGAAACAGATTATAAAACCTGTTTGTTGAAAAGTATTATAATTTAAATGTATGCTGTCCTTATAAACTGAAAACAGTGTAGTTAACTCCAACTTCAGCTTGCTCCTGATTCCTTAATCATTGTTTTTAAAAAATACTAATCAGAAAGAATCAGGAGGGTTCTCCTTTATTAGACTAATCTAAAAAAAAAGATTTAACATTATTAAAATAAGCATATATCTAAAAATGAGACATAAAGAGATTATAAAGTGATTTGGAAAAATCCAAATATCAAGACTTGTAACGATAATCATGGAAAAATCAAAATGAGCAGTCCCTGTGGGATCAAATCTTTCCGTCATTGGGTTTGATTGCCTCTGCTTGTCTCCTATTCAATCTGGCATTAGAAATGGGTTGGCGAAAATCAAACATTTAGACATCAGGTACCATTTTTAGTAGAATTGTACTGGAATATTCCAATGACATTGACATCGTGGCTAGGTCAAAAGAGACATTCATTGCTTTTGAAACAGCTGCCGGAAAATTCGATCTCCAAGTCAATGAGAAAAAAAACTAAATATATGCAAGCTGGTGTTGGTGGAGACCATATTGCTTTTGTGAACATTGGCCCCTATAAATAGAGTTAAGAATTTTGTTTACCTAGGATCTGAGATGAACTCCAGGAACGATACATCTCAAGATATCAGCAGGCGGATGAATACTTTTAACTTTTCCTTTAACTCTTAAAAACTTGTCCTCCAGTACAAAAGTCAACCTTTACAAGACCTTGGTACATTTGGTGCTCACATATGGATCAGAGGCATGGGAAACTTCAAATGAGGACGAGAACAGATTACTGATTTTTGAGAGACAGGTGATGAGGAGAATTTTTGGAGTAGTAAGAGGGGGATAGGTCTGGAAGAGTAGAAAGAATAGGGAGCTCTTTGATGTCTTTAGAGATGACAATATTGTCAGACTTATAAAGCTGGGACAATTCTGTTGGGCCAGTCACGTTACTTGAATGGGTGACTCCGAGAACCCAAAGAAGGTAATGAAGGAAGAGGTGCACTGAGCAAGGACAGTTGTGTGGTCCAGAACAAGAGGGCTAAACAGTGTGGAGGCCGATATGAGGGATTTGCTGAACATCAGAAATTGGACTTCCACAGGCTGCTGGATAGTGGGTTGTTGCAATGAATGTGTATTTATGCATGTTTATGTTTGGGAGATATAAAAATAATAAAGATAATAGGAGATATAATAAAATGATTATCCGACTATTTCATATCTCAAACTATTTAAATTGGCTGTCCTAGGCTTAGTCAAAATAATTAATTATTTTCAATGATTAATCTATAAATTTCTAACAAGATTAGTCAGTATTTTATTTTCCTCTACTGAATGAATGATAACTTATTTCTTATCGTTCAACTAATTATTTGATTAATTAAAATTATTTATGAGTATTGATACTAATAGCTATGTTTTAAACAGCCTAATTATTTTTTTCATAATGGTTACCCTGGGGGGGGAGGGATAACTTTCCCTTTTTATCCTATCATGGATTTGCTACTGCCTACAGCTAGTCTCTCACTATCTCAAAAGAAACATTCAATAGTTGTGAATTAATATGTGTGCGGGGTGGCTGAACGGGCAACCTGATATATGAGACAATGGATTTAAAATAGTCACGAATTTGCATCCCGTAGCTGGGGGAGTCTTTTAAATCACCCCTCACACCCTCTGGACTGGGAAAACCCTGTATAGCCTTAAAGCGAGGAAGGGGAGGAACCAAAAAAAAAAAAAATTTGTGAATGAATACATTTTTATTGGAGTTCAGCTCTATCCACATTCCCTTTTATATGTAAAATAAGAACTGAAATGGAATAAGGAAAAATGCAATAATCTGCTCCTGTCAGTTCCAGCCTTAGACATTTGGCGCCCCTGGGCAACAAAGTCATCTTTCCCTCTCCCTCCAAAAAAAGCTTTCTTATATAAAGTAATATTGGAATTTTATTTGATTTAATAAGTCATTATTTCAATTGCCTTATTAAAGGCTAAAATTGGTTATTTAATATGCTTTGTGATTTTTTTTTTACTCCTAACAAGTGGTGGGAGCCACCCTCCTGGACGGCAATAGCCCGGGTTGCCCAGCTCTAAGGCCAGCACTGACCTATTTGACATTTAAAAATAATTTATGTACTTCAATTATTAATAAATTGTAATTCATAGCTACTGTGTTTCATTTCGACTCTCCTTGCTCACTTATCATATTTCCATTCCTTGATTTATGACAATGCTCAATTATGTATACATATTTAATATCATTAATAATATACCTTTCACTTTATCATTTCTTTATATGGAAAATCCAAGTTCTGTCATTGTCTTGTCTATCCAAGGGCGAGCATATGCTACGCCAGCATATACTCCTGGAGTTAGATCTCCACAACCGATTCCCCAAGCAACTAAACCAATTGCTTGATATGTTCCTGGCTTGCCTTCAACTGGGCAAACTAGAGGACTTCCCCCATCTCCCTAGAAAAAAGTATAATGCTACAAATTATTTAACAATGGTTTATTATTTCCAATTAGTTATATATCAATTTTTCTATTTTCCTTAGTACTTAACAAAAATAAGTTTGTTAATATTAGTGGGTGGGCATAAGAATTGCTTTATTAATATTTTTTAATTATTTGTTACAAAATATAGACCACAGTCTTGATTGTTGTTGACCAAAACGAAAATAGATAGACTTTGTAAAAGAACATATGGTAAACATTCAGAATGCAATATATATGCACTAAATCATCAGATTTCAAAGATAATTTTGCTTCCTCACTACAAAATTTTAGTGTACAAATTTTAAATAAAATGGCTCCTATCAATTAATAGCCCAGTAAATTTAGGATTTGATATCAAGAAAATTCATAATTGGCTGTAAATGTGGGGATTAGTTCCTTGTCGAATGTAGAACAAACCATGAATAGTCCCCTAAAATCCCATGGTCGCTTCCATCCAAAATGGAGGGTCAAATATGGCTACCTAGCACTTTCTGTCTTATTTTACGTTTTTCCTCATATCTCCGTCAAAAAACATTGTTCTTGAATTCCAAAAGTACTAATATAATCAGCAAGAATGCTTGTTTTAGATTTCATTGAAAAGCACCTGATAAAAAAATGATAAACAAGCTGTAAATTAGTCTATTTGGCGCCAATATAGCGAAATTGTCTTAATTTTAGTTCTTTCATCCTTCATAACTTTGTAACTACTGACAAACGAGAAATAATGTTTCTCATGTTTTTTGAAGTATTTAGTAAGAGTAATATTCGAAAAATTGTTTTGTTTTTAGTATTTGCTAAAAAATGGTGGAGATATGTTATTTTTTTTAAAAAAAGGACGCGATCTCAAAGTTGAATTCCATCGCGGACTATTCGAACTGGATAGCTAGTTATAGATTAGGAGCTATGCACTGTTTCATTTAACTGAAGAACTTACAGTTAGTAACCATTTTTAATTGTAGATAAACCTCATCTGAGCTCAAAACTTCGGTCTGTCGATGGAAAGCCATTGCGTTCAATTCGAAAATTTAAATTAAAGTGTTGAAATTTGATGTTTCATTTATCAGAATAACTGACATCTGAAATTTGATAGCGAAATTTCTGCACCTTTTTAGTTCTTTTGGGTATGAATCCAAAACTATGCATTTTAACAACATTATTATTCTATACAAAGTTAAAAAATGTAAAATCTTCTAACGACTTTTAACATGGCGTTTTATTGTAAGACCAACGAATTAGCAGTTATAGCAAGTTGATTGCCTGCTTATTTCACAAGAAAAAGCTATTTTCGTTGTTTTTTCTCTCAAAAACTGATAATCTATGCATTTCTCCAAGAAACTTATTATAATCATTTTAAAAGAGCATTAAATTTCTAATAAAACTCATGCAGATAGATTAATAAGTGAGAACGTCAATTACTGTTAAACCGCACATAATTGAAGCCATTTTCAGACGTATAATCTAACGCTCTCGCCTTATATCTATTCATTTATTTAAATACGGCTAATTTTATTATATTTATAACATAACTAGATTGTGTAAACAATTAATATAGCTTTTATATATTCTATTGTAATGAGGGACATGAAAGTAGATAACAAAATAAAAAAAAACTTATGAGCGAGATGAGTTTTAAATTTCTAGCAATTCAATGGCATTTCGCCTACTCGTATATTATTAATCTAAATAAGCTTAAATTTAATTAACGTAAAAGTTATTAAAGCACTCTGACTGAGCAGCCAAATTCGATCCTTAACTTTTTAATTATTATGAATCTCGTTGTCTCTTATGTCAATAGAGACTATTTAGATTATTTTGTCACCATTACCCACCTTTTATCTAACTTTGAGCTAAATCGAATGACCCCTTTCTGAAATATTGGCATATCTAAAAAAATATGTTTGCGCGTGTGTAAGCGGAAGTGCTGGATGGAATCCGATAAAATTTATACGGGAACAGCTAGGCACCAATTCGCATAATCCCTCGCATAATTTCATGAAAATTGGATGAACGGTACTAGGTGATATGCCCATCACGTCGATTTGACAACAGACAGACAGACATCAAACCAAATTTGATCCTTGATGTCTGAAACGTAAAACGGGAGTGAAAATTTTCGATTCTGAACACAATGCTTCCCTACCTTCAGTAGTGAGGAAGCAAAAACATATATGACATCAGGTGAAAAATGTATTACAACGAGAAGGGATAGGTTTTAATTGCATAAACTAAAATTTTTCAACTTGCAAGCCAGAAAGTGGGAAAGAAACTGCCACCAGGAAAAAAAAAAAAAAATAAAAAGATATTATTTCTTTTTTTCTGGAATTATAAAAAAGGAGTTGAAGTAATGAAAGAAAAAAATATGATTAGAAGATTTTTTTTTTACCTTACAAGTATCTTTTCCAAGTATTCCTCCTGCACAAACGAAGCTTTTATGCAATCTGAAGTATTGACCTAGCCTTGTTTTGCGGAGGAGAGTGGTACATTGATCATTAGGTACCATTGGCAGATCAATTTTCTTGAGAATAACTTGATATTGTCCTTTTTGACCTGTATCATAAGCATAATATTAGAATATCGGAATAACTTTATTAATATTACTATTTTATACAAAATTTAATAAACTAATTTATAGTTCTGCTATGTTTGGTACAAGAATTTACGTTGAGTATCTTAGAGGATAATAATAAAATTTCTTGAGAAGGAGGAAAGATGTGCCACCAATGCCCTCATCACCCTTGGGAGAGGAGGCGCCTGTGATTCAATACAGCAAATCAGATATCAGATGTTGAAATAAATTTTTTTTTTTTTTAGAAAAAGTAAAAAAAGTAATTATGATAATGTAAATTAACCATTCCCTTTTTCCTGCTTATCAAACAGGGGATGAACTTAAACTTAACTGGCATAAAATTTGTGTGTGGTATTTAGTCTAGTAATGGTGTTGATAAACTCACTTTCTTAATATTTAGAATTATACAGGGTGACTTAATTTTTAATAGCCAAACTCTTGGATGGGATTATAGACAACATTTCAACCACAAATTTCATGGGATATACGGGCCGATTTTGAATGGAAAAGGAGTTAAGTCCAATTTTGTATTTTCTTAAGCCAGGACGTTTTATCTTTCATAGGAAGTTATAACACAAAAATTATTTAAGGTAATTAAAAATTGTTAAGACAAAATTCTCTTCTAATATAAGTAGTTTGTTTTTATCAAAACCACTTAAAGGGATCCTCTGAGCAGCCAAACAACAGTAAGTTGTGTTTTCCATTAAATCATGGATTATTCGCAATGTTTTTATATCATCCTACAGCTATACTACAAATACTCCACTTTTATAAAATCTTCCTTGATTAATTGTATATAAATTTATTTGAGGTTTGTTTTAGAATAGATTTAAGAATCACTTGGTTTGATATTCTGTCACTGAAGTGTATCTGTATTCACAGCAAAAACAAGAACCGAGAAATTACCCAAATTTCCTTTTTTTTGTGGTAACCTGACATATATTTTAGTAAGTTAATTTTTAAAATGCATTTTTATTCATTAAAAAATACTGCTTTATCAAAAATTTATTATGTGAGGTGATTAGGAAATCGACCCTTGTGGAATTAAGTAATTAACTAAATGTTCTCAAAAGTCCCTGTTGAATGGTTTTGATAAATATAAACTCTGCTTGTATTTGAATAAAAATTTATCTAGTTTACTAGCAGGAAATTTTTAATTATATGAATAAAAAACTTTTGTTTTATCACTTCTTATGAAAGAGAAAACATGCCTTAAGAAAAGACAAGATTGGATTTAACTCATTTTCCTTTCGAAATCGGCCATACATCAACAGAAATATTTAGTAGAAAATTTGTTCTAGAATAACCTCCCAGAGTTTGAGATTTTAGAAGTGAGACACTCTGTTACAACTTACTGTTGAAATACTAAAAAAGAATTAAAAAAAATAATGTATTTTCTAGCATCAGGTTGTTAGTAGCTTTTAATTGTTAGCATGTCAAAAAAATTTCACGGATTTATTTAAAAATATAATATGAGAAATGAGGCAATCAGATTGTTACCATATTGATCTTTTCCCCATCCACTTGCATAGCACTCTTTGCTGAGTGCCACAATTCCTGGCGGAGGCAAACAAACTGTGTCTACATTTGGACTAAATTCAAACGGCTTATCAACAACTAACAAAGCAAAGTCGTTCCATAAATTTCCACCGTTAAATTCAGGATGAATCATAGTTTGAACAACCATCCTGTCCTGATAAGGAAAAATTTCTTTTACTCTTTGAGTGTCCCATTCCCCTGCTCTAGCCATTATGTTACTGTCGTCACCTTTCCTAAAAAAAAATTGTTTTACCTTATTTTATCAACTTAATTAACCTTGTTATTTAAAAAAAAAATGAATGACATGCAATCATAATTTTTCTGTAAACAGTTTATATTTTAAATTAAATTTTTCAAAATGCAAATTTAATCCTTTATCTTTAAATGGATCATTTTTTAGTTTTGAAATAAAGTAATGATTAAGAATTAGAAAAATTATATAGTAAACTATATTACATTAAAATATTATATAGCTTAGATATAAGTACAGTAGAATATCAACCATTCAACCAAGTCAAGTTTATAGAGGTCAGTTTCATCTAGGAGCAACTTTAGTGTTCTAGGTGTGTAAAAGGGTAGTACATTCTAGTACCCTCAGTTAAAAATCCTATATGGCTGAGGGGTCGTATCCTTTGAAGATAGTTCAAATCCAAGGTTGTTTTTGGTTTCAAAATGTTAACTAATTCATGTAGTTAGGCATTCAACCTAGTTTAATGCCACCTTGGGTCTGCCACCCTTGAGCCTGTAGACCAGCTTCCCCATCCAGGGTGGCATCCTAGGGAAGATGACCCTAGGGTGAGTATTACAGGTGACCTTTGAGCTTGGTGTGTGGTGAAATTTGGTAGAGTGCTGAGATAGTTACCTGTTGTGGTGAGAGTGCATGGTGTACTGAGCTCTGGTCCTTAGTGTCGTTACTCACCATTTGTGTGTCATGCAAAGATAATCAAGAATTTGAATTTAACTGGGATAAGTTCCAGAACAAACGGGATGTTAAGGTCATGGCATAGTGTTTTGTTGGTTACAAAGCAGGGAGCATCGACTCTTGTTCGAAGGACTACGGACTGAAAGAACTAGATTCGTCTGGTGTTAGAAGTTCCAAATATATTTAGGTCTGCGCGGTCGTGCCCTTTGAAGACTGTTCAAATCCTAAGCTGTTTTTGGTTTCAAAATGTTAACTACTTCATGTAGAGGGGCCATCAATCCTCTCTCCTTAACCTAGTCTACTGGTAGAGCTGCATCTATGATCTTGTAGACCAGCTTCCCCATCCAGGATGGCATCCTAGGGAAGATGACGCTAGGGTGAGTATTATAGGTGACCTTTGAACTTTGATGAAAGGTGTGTGGTGAAATTTGATGAAGTGCTGAAGTAGTGTACTGTTGTGGTGAGAATGCATGGTGTACTGAGCTCGGGTTCTTGGTGTTATTACTCATCATTTGTGTATCATGCAAAGATACTTCTTTCAAGAATTTGAATTTTTCTGGGATAAGGTCCAGAACAAATGGGATGTTAAGGTCATGGTGTAGTGTTTTATTGGTTACAAAGAAGGGATCATCGACTATTGTTCGAAGGACTACAGACTGAAAGGACTGGATTCATCTGATGTTAGAAAATCTTGCTGTCTTCCACAATTCTAGTCCGTAGATCCAAATAGGCTTCAGGATTGTCTTATAAATCAGTAATTTGTTGCCAATTGAAAATTGAGTTTTTCTATTCAGTACTCTGTATAGTTGGCCGTATTGTCAGTTAAGTTCTTGTCTTTAATTCTAGTATGCGGATAGTCTTCCCTCTAAGAGAAAGCAGAAATACCGTACTGAGTCTGAAAAAGGAATCTGGATGGAATAAATGTGGACTGGTGAACAGAATCTGCGTCGAAGCCTATTATAATGGATTTGTTTACTTTAATGTGTCAATTGTTGCACCATTCCTCAATTAGAGGTATGTGTATTTGTAGGTTTTGGGATGCTGTTTCAGGGTTAGAATGTAATGACAGGATGGCGGTATCGTCAGCGAATGTTGCTAGGAGTGTATCGGAATTGGTTAGGATGTCAGCGGTGAAGGGATTGTTGAGAAATGGGCCCAAGACACTGCCCTGTGGAACATCATAGTTAATTAAGTTAATTAGATAATAATTGGAGAATTTAGTGCCACAGCGGACTTGAAAGGAACGATTTGAGAGGTGGGATTTGATTTGGGGTAAATTATTTTTCTTAGGGATTCTTAAGAAGTGATCATGGGAGGAAGCAGAGCAGATTGATTGTTGAATAGTCGTAGTTAGGGAATGTACAGCATTGTCAAGGTTAATTTCATCAGAAAGGATTTGATGAAAGAGTTGGAATCATAAATAGGGATACCTAGTTGGGAATACTAAGGAGAACTGTGATGTCTTATAACAGTATCATGGTATCAGTGCCGGCCTTAGACATTATGCGTCAGCGGGCAATGATGTCATCTTTTCAATTAAAAAAATTAAATTTATTTCTTAAGCTGTTTTATATTATGCCATATTTGAATTTTATTTCACTCAACGTTTCTCTGGTACAGTTGCTTTATTGATAAGCTAAAATTAATTATTTTAATACATTTTGTATGCTTTTATATATATATATATGGTAAGCGCACCTGATTTATACGATTGAATTGCCCTGGTTGCTCCACCCTAAGACCGGTGCTGCTATTTATATATTGAAAGCATGGGCATTACTAATTTTTACACAGCTTGTGTTTGGATAAAAAAGGTGCTCTTTGCTGCACTTTTTTTTTGGTCTAATTTCTGAATTAATATGTCTTGTTCTTGAAGTACAAATAACAATATATTATCTTTATAAATTATTTGAATATTGTAATATTTTCAATTAGTAACATTAGCATCTTACTTGGGGATGCAGTGAGCTGCTGTTAAAACTACTTTTTCATGGATAAGTGCTCCTCCACATTGGTAGACCAACAGATCTATGCCATCTTCAAGAGTATTTAGTTTCAACAGTGCTACCTAGTAAAGAAGAAGAAATACAATAACATTGCAGGGCTGCTCAATTGTGTTGAGTTGCTAAATGACACAGAATACTCATCAATCAATAGATACAACTATATAAAAATATAAGAGAGAGTTAGATCGGACCATTGGAATACATTACAGACCTCGATCAATATATGTGGTGATAGAGGATTCTTAATGAGTCTAAAATAATTGTAAAGAAATATTTAGAAGTGCTAGAAGGTTTTCATTTATTATTGTGAAACCGTATAATACAACTCCATAAAAATATGTTTGGAATTGTTAATACTTTGTTATTAAAAACATAATGTTAAGTAAAAAACCGTTTATTATAGCTTTAATTGTATAAATAACTAAAGAAATAATGGAACTATTGCTAAGCAATCTTTCTTTTTTCCATTTAAATGAGCTGATTTGATTTAATGTTTAAATAAATCATAATTTGATTAACCAAATGTCTTATTCGATTAGATATTTAAATGGAACAGATTTCTTTTATTTTTTTGTTTTAATACCTCAACAACTATGAAGTTTAATAGATTAACGGTTATACACCTAGATTAACTAGTACAACAGCTGATGATTAGGTAATGGGAAAGGTTGTGTTTCCATCTGGGCTCAGGGAATTTACTTGGTTTTTTTTTTTAATCTCTGAGGTTATTCATTTTTAACAGGCCATTGCTGCGTAGAAAGAATTGATATTTACTGTGTGCAGTTATACATTATATTTCTTTATTTTTTTTTTAGTGTGATATTACCATCAGGTCATGTCCAGTAGAGCATCTAATAAGAAAACTCAGTCGTTAGGCTCCACACTTTGTTCTTTTAAAGTCAAACAAAAACCTCCAGCCACTCCTGTTAGGTTCTTAGAACATCAAGCCCAGCCAGGTACATCATCACAAAAGACAATTGAAAAACCTTAGCCACAACCAGAGACATCATTACAACAGACAACTGAAGAATCTCCCTTTTTTGCACCCAACCCCTATTAGGTGCTTCAGAATGATAGAGAGGTAATGGAGTCTGCACTGATACCAAGAGACACGATAAAAAATCGATAGTCGTTAAAAATATTTTTTTAAAATTTAGTTACTATATTCTATCTAAACAAAACAACTGGGTCTCGAAGCTACTAGTATCTAAGCTAGAAAAAAGACACTAAAATATCATAGGATACAGCTGAAACGTACAGAAAAATTGTGAAACATCTAACAGAAACCAACGCGGATTTTCATACTTATCAATTACGGCAAAAGTGAGCTTTAAGAGTAGTTATAAGAAATCTACATCCCTCAACAACAACCGAAGCAATAGAAGAAGAACTGAAAACTTTAGGCTTCAAAGCACGGCAGGTTTCAAATGTTCTAAAAGAGGGTAAAGACTAACAAGGAGTAAAAGTTCCTCTATCCTTATTTTTCGTATACTTGGAACCAAGGGATCGAAAAAATATATGATAAAAGAAGAATGTACTATAAAGGTGTGAGAGTCGAGAAGCCATATCCTTCGAGGGAAATCGTCCAGTGCTACAATTATGGAAATAAATTCTATATACCGTTTAAAGTTCAAACATATATTGTCCCAAATTCCGTTCACAAGTGATACTTAAATTGTTCTGTTTTTTTTTTTTTTTAATTTTCTTATGGAGATTATATGATTAAAATTACTTATTAATTATTTTTTAAAATGTAATTATGAAAAAAAATAATTTTACCATCCAAGGAAATTCTCCAAATTCTGCCTCACTGCTGGTGTGTCCTGTTATTCTAAATCCAACGCCATTAGGGTGACGTTGCCCACATCCCTTCCTTTCCATGGGGACTGGCTTAATAGTATTTTCTGTCGGTTCCTTGCAACACACATCCATATATTCTTTACAAACGGGTCCCATTCTGTAATTATTTTAGATGTAATTAAACAACGTAATGTAAGTTATACATAAACACGCACACAAAATTTCTTTAATCGACCTTTGAGTATTATATTTTCAATTAATTATTTAATTGGGAATAAGAACACTTAATAATTATTCAATAAACTACTAAATGTTCATTGCTTCTGTGTTTATTCGACGTTTCGATCCCGATTTTGTTTCGTCGAATAAACACAGAAACAGTGAACATTTCGTAGTTTATTGAATAATTATTAAGTGACTTTATTTCCAAATAAATAATTAATATAAATATACTTATATATATATAAGTATAAGTATATATACATATATATATATATATATATATATATATATACATATATATATATATATATATATATATATACATATATATATATATATATATATATATATATATATATATATATATATATATATATATATATATATATATATACATATATATATATATATATATATATATATATATATATATATATATATATATATATATATATACATATAATAACCATCCCATCACCTTCAACTCCTCAGTTAAAAACCTAGACATTTTCATTGACCAAAACCTCTCCTTGGAATCACCATATTTCCCACATCTCTCGACAATCAGTTTGTACTTTTAAGCTATTCCATCGCTTCCGCCATCTCCTTCTTATACCCACATGCAGACTCCTAGTGTCCTCCCTCATCTTCCCGTGGTGTACGGCAGCATCTGGATTATGAATTATGAATAGCTTAGTAAGATTTGTCGAAGGGACCTCGAGAGATTGCCGTGTTTCTCACTACTATGCCCAGTTAGGGTGGCTCTTTCCCTCCTTCAGAAGACAATATTTCCTTGGTACATTCCTTTACCAAATAATCAACAATCGTCGCCCGTCCTATGTATACAATCTCCTCCAACATAAATCATCTATCCACTCCCTCTCCACAAGATCTGTTCCTTCTGACCTTTACACCCCTTTCCATAGATCTGCTTCATTTCAACATTCCTTTATTGTCCGCTAATCCACTTTTTGGAATTCCATCCCTCTTAAAATCCGCCATGCACCATCCTTATCCACATTCAAAACCCTCTTATTCCAATTCCTCTTCACAACCCAATCAGATGCTGGTTAATTATGTATTATTGTAACAGAGATAATTTTTTTTTCTTTTCATACACCATTATTTGATTTTATTTTTTGTTTATTATTGTCACAATTGCTTTCTCATAAAATTAATTTAGCGCCCCTTCCTAATTGTATTTACCTATTTATTGTTATTTTATATCTCGTATGCCGAGATAATACAATATGGTGATCCCGTTGCTCATCCTGCCATTAATATATCTTTAATCTATGTATATATTTTGTATGTTTGGGTTTTAACATAACAAGTCAATACTTTTTATTTACGTACTCTTGATATTTTTTCTTTTCTGTTGGTTTCGCTTTTTCTTTCTATACATGTAATGCTTTTTTTTTTTCCTTTTCTTTTTTTTATTTTTTTCCAGTAAAATTATAAGTATAGTTGAGAAGGATTTTATTTTATTTTTTAATTGTTTACATACTATTATTTAAGTTGTTGTATATATTGTTTGAATCTTTAATAGGTTAGTTTTTGGCCAGATGTGTATTTTTTCTTTTGTAACTGTTCATTATTGTTATTCTAAGGGGACATCGTCCTAGAATAAAGTTTATTTTTTATTTCTATATCTATTTAACATAGATAACAAAAAGGCTATGTTGCAAGAGTGTTGTAATAATACAATGTCAAAACTTATACACCAGTTCCAAATAATACCACTTCATTTCCACAAGCTGTGTTATTATTTCTTCACTCTAATCATCAAGTTATGATTAGAATGAAGAAATAATAACACAGCTTGTGGAAATGAAGTGGCTTTATTTGGAACTGGTGTTTTTGACACTGTATTATTACAACACTCTTGCAACATGGCCTTTTTGTTATCTATTGTATTCTCTATATTAGCATGTGTTTGATAAACAATTAGCTTATCTTAAGAATAATCGTATATATATATATATATTCTATAAACAGTTAACTCCCTCCCTCCAGTTCCTTCGTAAAAATGTTATATAATAGTTATGTCTATATGGATTGATAAGTATGCTGTGTATTAAGCAACCTTCTATGGTAGGGCAGTGTTACTTTTAATGAAGTATTTCTCTCTATAATAACAAACACTAATTCTGTTCTGGAGTCGCTATCTCATTTCGTGAACTCCATAGGTATTAAATTGTAAAAATTAAAGTTAGTTAATGATCCAGCAAAATAATCATTTGGAATAAATAAAATTTAAAATTATGCTAATGTCGTCTAGCTCTAGCTAAAGCCTTTTATAAAATTAAAAATGTATATATGTTTTCGGAGACGCTTTTTATGAAAAGGCTGTTGAATTTAAGATTTTGAATGAAATATTTATAAATTTTCGGATTTTTTTTTATATAAGGGTCCACTATTATGTTGTCGAAGGCACTTTTCATGAAAATACTATGGGGTTCAAAATGAAAATGGGGTTTAAAATTGTGCATTGAATATTTGTAGCTTTAAGGACGTTTGCGATGTAAAGGTCCATAATTATGTTTTTGAGAACGCTTTGTCTGAAAATGTTGGATTTTGGATTGTGTAATTTAGTTTTAAGGTTTACAGTTGAATATATTACCTGTTTTAAAATTATGCGTGTTAAATCCGACAATATTTTTATAATAATAATTGCCTCCGTGGACGTAAGTATGGACCCTTATTTTCAAGTTTTTGAAAAAATAAAAAAAAACTGATTAGCAATTGAATGATGTTAAGTATAAATTTCGAAAAAGTCCTTAAAGGTAGAAAAATTCGATGCGCAATTGTGCAGTTTTAAAAACGTCTGGTTAAAGTAAATTTACAATTTAATTATTCCAAATTTTGTTTGAAAAATTCAAATAACAAATAAAATGATAATACATAACTTAAGGCTCATTTACACGTTGCCAGTCGCTGGCGCCAGTCACTGGTGCTAGTCGCTGGCATTCCAGTCGACTGGCGCATTACAGTTAAAGCTCATTTACACGGTGCCAGTCGCATTCCAGTTGACTGGCGCCTAAAGTTTACACATTCCCGTTAATGTAGAACGATTCGAGTGTTATGCCTTTTATGACTTTTTAACCTGGCATTCCAACGCTCAGTCTCCTTCGTCATGACAGAGTGGATCGTACGGATGGTGGAGTAGGTCTCTTTGTCCATGTCAGCCTTAAATCCACAATCCTTCGTTGCTCTTCCTTAACCGATTCTCTGCGCATTGAATACCTCTTTGCCGAAATCCTCACAACTTCATCTGCCATTCTGTTTGCTGTCATATATCGCCCTACTAGAATTGTTTTTGATGTATCATTCGAGATTTCTTTGTACAACTTAATTCCTTCCTACTCAAATGTCATCCTCTCCGGCGAATTTAAAACCAATTTACTGATGTAATCGATCGATTATTCTTACCTAACAAGTGCCCTCCATTATCTCAGCCTTTAGCCATTATCCTATAGTATCCTACAACTCTACCATATATACCCAGTTCTCGGAGTCCTGGCTCGATCTGTTTATCCTAGATTTCTTAGACAAACTCCTTCCTGCATTTCCGCACTCGATCCCGTTTCTATCTTACCACGGTCTTATCCAGATTTCTTACAATATCCCTATCCCATCCTTTTCTCCTCGAACGATATCATTCCGAAACCTAAATCCACTCACTCACGAAACATTTTCAAACGATCTTGACGATATTCAATGGGATCGTATTTACTTCTCAAAATCCATCGACACCATGGTAGAAACCTTAACCACTCATCTTCACTCCATCCTCGACTGACATGCTCCTATTATCACAAACAAAATCCTTCCGCTCCTTGGTTGACTTCTGCTTTGAGACAGTGTATGAGAGAAAGAGATGCTGCAAACCGACGGTTTAAACGAACTCGAGTTCCTGAAGATTTTCTGTTCTTCGAACAGCTTCGAAACAGCACTCAATCAGCAGTACGCCGTACCGAATCCAGTTAATACTATTATTCCTTATTGAACTCCCCTAATACCAATGCCACTTGGGCTATTCTTAGAAAACTGACCATTGGTAATACACCTCAGTCCCAGTCCATTTCCGTTTCTGCTGATAACCTCTACGCTCACTTTGTCTCCTGCCATTTAGCAACCACATCACGTCCAGTCCGGCTCCTATGTTTTCCTCTTTTAATACTGATCACTACTTTTTCCCCCACATTATCCCTGACTATCTTCTTAACTCCATTCAGAAGTCCCATACAAACGATTATGGTCCTGATTTTTGTTGCAAATCCTAAAACCCCCCATCAGAATCTCCACCCTTGTCCAGAGGTATTCCCCAATCTTCTCCTGAACAACTCCACTATCTTATTCCATACTACCGTTAAAAAACTAGGTGTTACTTTTGATTAAACCCTCTCCTGGAAACCACACATCTCCCAAATTTCTCTTTGCAATCTCCTCCCTAAAACAGTTCAACCGCCTATGTTATCTCCTTTCTTCCATATAAGTCCGTCAACTCCTAGTTACCTCCCTTGTTTTCCCCCACTTGGACCATGGCTGTATGGTGTACGGTGGACTCTCGGGAGATTGCGAAGCCAAACTTAAACGCCTAATGACTTTCCAATTACGTTTTATTTTCGGGCTCTCAAGAGATGCGCCAGTATTACACCGTGTTGAAGTGGCTCTATCCATCCTAGCTAGGTAGGTAATTCCTAGCTACCTTTCTGTACCAAATCATTAGAACTCATCGAGCCTCCTATTTTTTCACAGCTTACAATTTAAATACTTCAACCAATCCCGTCCCACTAGATCTGATACTCCGGCCCCTATCCTCCCCCTCACCAAACTGCTGTGTTTGACAAATCCTTTGCAATTCAAGCCGTCTCCTTCGGGGATTCCATCCCTGCTGATATTAGACACACACAATCAGTTTCCTCTTTCAAACCTCTCCTCTTTAAAGACCTAGTTTTTTCTATTATATTCTAGTTT